GGGGACGGTGACCGGGCTCTGTTCGCACGAGGCCTGGGGGCGGCCACCGGGAGAGCTTGCTCGGGCTTGCCTGCGGGGTCACCCGCCCCCCAAGCACCCCTGGCTGGTCCGGGGGACTGGTGTTCTTTCTGCCCCTCATCACAGGAGGAGACCCCCAAGGGCGAGGGTGCAGAGCAGGAGCCCGGCGCCCCCGAAGCAGAGGACGACGGGCGGAGACACGGGTTCCTGATTCTGAGCCGGGAGGACTCCACCATGGTGCGGGGCCCGTGGGCAGCGGGGCTGCCGGGGGGGGGGGGCCCGGCGGCCGGGGTGCGCCTCACCCCTGCCTCCCACAGATCCTGCAGACCGGGCAGGAGATCATGGAGCTGGACACCAGTGGCTTTGCCACACAAGGCCCCACGGTCTTTGCTGGCAACATTGGGGACAATCGCTACATCGTTCAAGTGTCACCACTGGGCATCCGCCTGCTGGAAGGAGGTGGGCAGGGCAGGCGGGCGAGCCGGCGGGCGGGGGCCGGGGGTGGGGGCGCACTGACCGCCCTGTGCCCGCAGTGAACCAGCTGCACTTCATCCCCGTGGACCTGGGGTCCCCCATCGTGCAGTGCGCTGTGGCCGACCCCTGCGTGGTCATCATGAGCGCCGAGGGCCACGTCACCATGTTCCTGCTCAAGAGCGACTCCTACGGGGGCCGCCACCACCGGCTGGCGCTGCACAAGCCCCCGCTGCACCACGTAGGTCCCCTCCCCCGGCCCCGCCGCCGCCCCGCCCCGCCCCCAGCCCTGAGCCCACCTGTCCCCCACAGCAATCCAAGGTGATCGCCATGTGTGTGTACCGGGATGTCAGCGGCATGTTCACCACCGAGAGCCGCCTGGGCGGGGCCCGTGACGAGCTCGGGGGCCGCAGCGGCTCCGAGGCCGAGGGCCAGGGCGCGGAGACCAGGTGCGCCGGGCGCCAGGGTGCGGGGGCGGGGCCCCGGGGGCGCGCTGCCCGTGACACGTGCCCTCCCCAGCCCCACAGTGGACGACGAGGAGGAGATGCTGTACGGCGACTCGGGCTCCCTCTTCAGCCCCAGCAAGGAGGAGGCCCGCAGGAGCAGCCAGCCCCCGGCCGACCGGGACCCTGCCCCCTTCCGGGCCGAGCCCACCCACTGGTGCCTGCTGGTGCGGGAGAACGGAACCATGGAGGTGGGTGGCGCGCGGCACCTGCACAACAGCCCGCTCCGCGCCCCGCGCCCCGCCTTCGCCAACCTGCGCTCCCCCCCACAGATCTACCAGCTCCCCGACTGGCGGCTGGTGTTCCTGGTGAAGAACTTCCCGGTGGGGCAGCGGGTCCTGGTGGACAGCTCCTTCGGCCAGCCGACCACGCAGGGCGAGGCCCGCAAGGAGGAGGCCACACGCCAGGGGGAGCTGCCGCTCGTCAAGGAAGTGCTGCTGGTGGCGCTGGGGAGCCGCCAGAGCAGGCCCTACCTGCTGGTGAGCCCAGGCCGCAGGCGTCTGCCCTCCCTGCCCCCGGCGCCCGCGCGTCCCGGCCCCCTGGTGACGCGACGCTGTCCCCAGGTACACGTGGACCAAGAGCTGCTCATCTACGAGGCCTTCGCCCACGACTCGCAGCTCGGCCAGGGAAACCTTAAAGTTCGCTTCAAGAAGGTGCGGTGGCGACCGTGGGGGTGCGGGGCTGCAGGGGCGGGGACCCGGTGCTCATAGCAACCCCCACCCTAGGTTCCCCATAACATCAACTTCCGAGAGAAGAAGCCAAAGCCGTCCAAGAAGAAGGCGGATGGCGGCAGCGCGGAGGAGGGGGCCGGGGCCCGAGGGCGAGTCGCGCGGTTCCGCTACTTCGAGGACATTTACGGCTACTCGGGGGTGAGCAGGCGGCTTTGCGGGAGCCGGGCTGGAGCGGCGGGGACCTCACCCCAGCCGCCTCCTCACGGTGCTGCCCCCAGGTGTTCATCTGCGGCCCCTCGCCCCACTGGCTTCTGGTGACCGGCCGGGGGGCCCTGCGGCTGCACCCCATGGGCATCGACGGCCCCATCGACTCTTTTGCCCCGTTCCACAACGTCAACTGCCCCCGCGGCTTCCTGTACTTCAACAGACAGGTGGGCCCTGAAGCGAGGCCCCTGGAGACCAGGGGAGGGGGGTCCAGAGGCCGTGGGGCCAAGGCGAGATGTGGGGCTGAGCGCCGGGAAGGGGCGGAGGACGGGGGGGCGGGGTTCGCGGCACCTGCCTGGGCCGCCGGGACGTGGTCCCTGTCCCTGCTCTGGGAGCCGGGCCCCCGGCTCTGCCTGTGGGGACGCGGGACTCCCTGGCAGAGGTGCTTGCCTTCTCTGTGCCCCACTTTCCTCATCTGTGTCATCCAGAGTCTAGCAGTGCCCCCAGGACCACTCCGGGAGCTCGGTGTTCCTGGTGCCGGCGCCCCCAGAACTGGGGCAGGCGGGGGGGGCGGGCCGGGGCCCCCTCGCCGTCCGCAGACCAAGCGTGGCCGCCCTCGGCCTCCCGGGCCTCAACCGCAGCCGTGGCCGACACCCCGCCCTGGGCGAGCCTGGGTCGGGGGTGGGGGCACAGGCAGCTCCAACTCCACCGAGGGCCGGCCCCAGTGACCCTGTGGGCCGGGGTCGCCTGTGCTCTCAGCGGGCACCTGGTCTCACTGGCCCCCCCCCCCCAGGGCGAGCTGAGGATCAGCGTCCTGCCTGCCTACCTGTCCTACGACGCCCCGTGGCCTGTCAGGAAGATCCCGCTGCGCTGCACGGCCCACTACGTGGCCTACCACGTGGAGTCCAAGGTCTGAGCCCCCTGCAAGGCCAGGGCCCCCCGGGCCTGGTCTCTGGTGTTGACGCCCTCCGTCCCCCCAGGTCTATGCCGTGGCCACCAGCACCAACACGCCCTGCACCCGCATCCCGCGCATGACGGGCGAGGAGAAAGAGTTTGAGACCATCGAGAGAGGTAGGGGGCGCCCGCGCGGGGCCCGCCTTGGGGGCCGCCCTTCCCTGACCTGCACCCTGTCTCTGCAGACGACCGGTACATCCACCCCCAGCAGGAGGCCTTCTCCATCCAGCTCATCTCCCCGGTCAGCTGGGAGGCCATTCCCAACGCCAGGCAAGGCTGGGCTGGCGCGGGGGCGGGGGCCGGGGGCACGGGCGGCCAGGGGCTGCGTCCTGACCCCACCGCCTGCAGGATCGAGCTGGAGGAGTGGGAGCACGTGACCTGCATGAAGACGGTGTCGCTGCGCAGCGAGGAGACCGTGTCAGGCCTCAAGGGCTACGTGGCCGCCGGGACCTGCCTCATGCAGGGGGAGGAGGTCACCTGCCGTGGGCGGGTAAGTGGCTGGCGGGCGGCAGCAGGCACGCCGCAGCCCCTCTGTGGTCCCCTCAGGTCACCAGCTGCCCACCCCCCGCCCCCAGATCCTGATCATGGATGTGATCGAGGTGGTGCCTGAGCCTGGCCAGCCCCTGACCAAGAACAAGTTCAAGGTCCTGTACGAGAAGGAGCAGAAGGGGCCTGTGACCGCCTTGTGCCACTGCAACGGCCACCTGGTGTCCGCCATCGGCCAGAAGGTGAGTCTCTGCCCCGCCCGGCCTATCGCCCCGCCCAGCCACAGGCGCCGGCTGCCACCTCTCCCCTCCGCAGATCTTCCTGTGGAGCCTGCGTGCCAGCGAGCTGACAGGTATGGCCTTCATCGACACCCAGCTGTACATCCACCAGATGATCAGCGTGAAGAACTTCATCCTGGCTGCGGACGTCATGAAGAGCATCTCACTGCTGCGCTACCAGGAGGACAGCAAGACCCTGAGCCTTGTGTCCAGGGTACCTGCGGGGCTGGCTCCCGCTGCGGGGGGTCCCTGGCCCTGTGCCCACCCTGACACCTCCTTCCCCGCTCCCAGGACGCCAAGCCCCTGGAAGTGTACAGCGTGGACTTCATGGTGGACAACGCCCAGCTGGGCTTCCTGGGTGAGTGCAGGGCCTGGGCGGAGGGCCCCCAGGCTGTGGGGCAGGCAGGACTGACCCTGGGCTGTGTTCGCAGTGTCTGACCGTGACCGCAACCTGATGGTGTACATGTACCTGCCGGAGGGTGAGTGCCCCCTGACCCCGGGCGGGGGCCGGGCGGGGCCGGCCAGCCCTGACCCGAGGCCCCCGTGTCCCCTGCCCCCCAGCCAAGGAGAGCTTCGGCGGCATGCGCCTGCTGCGCCGCGCCGACTTCCATGTGGGCGCCCACGTGAACACCTTCTGGAGGACCCCGTGCCGGGGCGCCGCCGAGGGGCCCAGCAAGAAGTCAGTCGTGTGGGAGAACAAGCACATCACGTGGTTTGGTGTGTGCCTGCCAGGGAGGGCGTGCGTGGCGGGCGGGCGGTGCTGGGGCCGCTGGGCTCATGCCGTGTCCCCGCAGCCACACTGGACGGCGGCATCGGGCTCCTGCTGCCCATGCAGGAGAAGACCTACCGGCGGCTGCTGATGCTGCAGAACGCACTGACCACCATGCTGCCCCACCACGCCGGCCTCAACCCCCGCGCCTTCCGGTGAGCACTGCCCCCGCCCCGCTGCCTCCTGCTAGGCCCACCCAGCTCCCCGCCACCTAACGCCTCCCTAGGATGCTGCACGTGGACCGGCGGACCCTGCAGAATGCTGTGCGGAACATCCTGGACGGAGAACTGCTCAACCGCTACCTGTACCTGAGCACCATGGAGCGCAGCGAGCTGGCCAAGAAGATCGGCACCACGCCAGACATCGTGAGTGGCCCGCCCGCCCCGCCGCCCCCTGCCCTGCTCCAGCCCCGCCCCCTCACCTGCTCTGCTCCCCACAGATCCTGGACGACCTGCTGGAGACAGACCGTGTCACTGCCCACTTCTAGACCCTCGGATACGGCCACAGCCCCACCCCTTTTTTTGTACAAAACACAGATGATTTGTTTGGTTTAAGAAGCGTGTGTGGTCATTGCAGGGCTCCCTGACCCCACCAGTGGTCAGCGCCGCCGCCCTGCCCCGCCCCCAGCGCCTCTGGTTGTGGCCGTCCCCACACGCAGTCCTGGCCGGCCCCGGGCCCTAGGTCTCCAGGTACTCGTACAGCCCCTCGGTCCGGGGCATGAGGCCCAGGTGCACCAGCGCTCGGACCAGGAGGGCGGTCAGCCGCATGGACAGGGTCTCCAGCCTGGGTGAGAGAGCGAGGTCAGCGGGGAGCAGGCGCCAGCCCCCCGCACGCCCGCTGGGCTCCCACTGTTCACTCACCTCAGGGCCACTTCAAACTTGAACGTCTCCCAGGCAACCCTGACGTGGCGCGCGACGCTGGCGCCGTAGGCACCCGGGTGTGCTGCGCCCACCAGGCGGCTCCAGCCCCGGACCGCGCTGTGGGAGACGGCGTCAGCCCAGACCCATCCCACCCCGGCCCCCACCCGGGCTCCCCGCCAGCGCCCACCTCTTGGCCATGAGGAAGTAGCGGTCAACGGGGGCGCCCAGGGCGCTGTTGATGGCGCGCACGGTGTTGATGTTCCGCAGCACCAGCAGCATGGACCGCGGCAGGGCCTTGAGCACGGCCATGATGTCCTCGAAGTGCTCCCGGGCCATGGCCTGCATGTAGGCCGCCTCCTCGCGGCTCAGCAGGTGCGACCGCCACAGCTGGCGCAGGCGCACAGGCCTCTGCATGAGCACCTCCGAGAACAGGAAGTAGTCTGGGGCGGGGCTGAGCCGGGCTGCAGGGCCTCCAGCCCACGCACACGCGCCCCAGGCTCACCTTCCACCCCCAGCGCGGCCGCGTGCGTCTTCATCGAGGTGTCGTCCCGCAGGATGATGGCCCGCCACAGCTGGCACAGGGCCGCGCGATCCCTGCGTGGCCAGAGCAGGCTGAGTCCTGGGCGGCTGGGCCAGGGGCCAGGCCCGGCCACCCTACCTCCCACACTTACTTCTCCTCTAGGAACTGATAGAGCCCATGGTCCAGCAGCACCAGCTGTGCCTTCCCGTCCGGGCCTTTCCGTACCAGAACTAGGGGCGAGACAGCTCATGCTCACCCACCCCAGCTCCGTGGCCCCACCCCACCCCGGCCCCGGCCCCGGCCCCGGGGCTCTGCCTACCGTTGCCAGGGTGGGGGTCGGAGTGGATGAAGCCTGTGTAGAATATCTGCTCGGCAAAAGCGTGGATGAGCTTCTCCGCTATCTGGGGCAAGGACAGGCCATGTGCTCACACGCGGCTCCCATCCCACGCCCCCCCCCCCCCCCCGTGCACACACACGTGTGCCCCTCCCTCGCCCCACACCCTGCACGCGCGGCACTCACATCCCGCTCCGCCAGCCCCATGGCCTTGATGGCCTCCACGTCGTTGACCTTGCAGCCCTCACAGAATTCGGCTGTCAGCACTCGCTGGGGGAGAGCGAGACACTGAGCTCGGGGGGCCGTGCGCCCCCAGCGCCCCCTCGGCAGGGGCCCCGCCCACCTTGCTGGACGTGGCCCAGTGCACGCGGGGGACCACGACGTAGCGGAAGTGCTGCAGGTCCCGCGCACAGCGCTCAGCGTTGCGCCCCTCGTTCTCGAAGTCCAACTCCTGGGCCAGGGTCCCCTTCAGGTCCTGGAAGCCACAGGCAGCCGGGAGTCAGGACCAGGCGCCGCGCAGCCCCGGCACGTGTCGGGGCCGCCCCCCGGCTGCCCGTGGGCAGCGGTACCTGGAGGACCCAGCTGAAGCCGAAGCTGGGGTGCATGAGCTCCACGAGCCTGAGCAGGAGTTCCAGGGTGTGGATGTCCCCGTCGAAGCGGTCCCGCAGGTCGATGTACTGCACCTGCAAGGGCGCGGAGGGTCAGGCGGCCACCGTCACCCAGCCCGCTCCTGCCTCCCGGGCCGGCTGCCGCGCAGGGTGGGCCCCCCAAGGCGGGCGCCTCGCACCTTCACAGCCACGGCGGTGCCATCGTGCAGCCGGGCGCGGTGCACCTGGGCCAGGCTGGCCGCGGCCATGGGCTGGTAGTCAAACTCCTGGAAGAGCTCCTGGGGCGGGGCCTGGAAGTCCTCCAGGAACAGCTCCTCCACCTGCCGGGGAGGAGGGGTGCTCGGAGCTGCGGGCCCCGTGCCCGCCGCCCGCTCTGCGCCCCGGGGCGGAGCTCACCTCCCGGAAGCCGCGTGTCAGGGCCCTGTCCTCCAGCACTCGCAGCGTCCGGATGTACTCGGGGGGCAGCAGGTGGTTGAAGGAGCACAGGCCCTGGCCCAGCTTCACGTACAGGCCCCCGTTGCTGATGGCCCCGGCCACCAGGGCGTCGGCCGCCCGCTGATGGCACGCGGACAGCACCTCCGAGTACCTCGGGCTGTTCTGGCCACAGACGTGGAGAGTGGGGTGGGGGCGGGCAGGCACCTCCACCTCCTCCGTCCCCCCGACACCTGCCGCCTCCAGCACGCCCACCCCACAGCACGGGGGGCCCGGCGGTCCCCCAGGACCCTCGGACAGACCTCGTCCACGCCTCGCAGGACGACGTTTGTGCACCACCAGTAGTCCATGGAGATCTGCAGGCCGATCCTCAGAGACCTGCCGGCACAGGCTCCCTCAGCGCCAGGCTCCTGGCCTCCGGCCCCACCCGCCAGCCCCTCGGTGCGCGGGGGCGGGGGACGCATGGCCTCCCTGCTCTCTGGACGGTGTCAGTCTCAGCTCCTGGCCAGCAGAAGAGGCCGCCGGCACCCACGATGACCCGCAGCACCTGAACGCCTGTCCGGCGTCCAGGGCCGGACCACCAGAGGCAGCCCTCCCACCCTGTTAGAGCCTCGTTACAGAAGGAGTCCACCCGAGACCGGCTGTGGCGGCGGCTCTTCAGAGGGCTGCCGCCGCGAGCTCCTGTGCGGGCGCCTCTGCGCTGGGCGCCCGGGAACGGGAGCCCCCTGCAGTCAACTCCTGACGAGCATCCCCACTGCTGCTGCCGACGGGACAGCCCTGCGCAACCCGGAGGCCCAGGTCCCTTCCGGAGCCAGCGGGTGTCCTCACACACACTCCCCACACCTCAGGCTCCGGGGGGGCAGCCCTGGGTCTGAGAGGAAAGGAACCAGGACGGACACCCAGGCCCCCGGCACTCAGGCCTCCACGGGAGGGATGTGGGGCGCCTGTCTCCCGAGGCAGGAGGCCTGGCGGGACCCAGGGCCAGCCGTCCGAGCGGAGCCTCTGCTTCCTGCCTCAGCCGCGTTCTGCCCCGGCCGCCAGCGCCACGGGTGGCACAGGAGCCAGACGGGGTCTGTGAGGAAGGGAGATGCGACGGGCAAGGCCAGCGAGAAGGGGGCTCGGAGCCCCCAGAGCCAGAGGGGTGGGGCCCTCCCTCAACAGCTCAGCCAGAAACCAGCGCGAGGTCTGCACGGGGGTGGGACCACCACTGAGCGAGCCCCTGAACTGCGGGCGAGCATAGCCCGGCGTCCCCCAGCGGGAGGGGAGGAGGCGCGAACACAGAACCGGCTGTGCTGGCGACCGGCTGCAAACGCAGAGGCCGGGCGCCTGCGGCGCGGCTCAGCGCACGGGCTCCACGCGGCCCCGAGACCTGCGGCCGTTCTCCACCCCCGGGACAGCGGTCCACGCCGGGCCGCGAAAGGGCAAGAGGAGCCCGGACCACCCTGCAGAGCAGGAGGGGCAAACGCTCACAAACGGAGACGTGTCCGAGGATTTGGAGACGTTAATGGTAAAATCTCAGTTCTCTGACGCGCATTCCCACCGACGTTTGAAATGTTTTACAATAAAAGGTTGATTTTTAAAAAAGGTCCCAGGAGTTAAGTTGAAGGGGTTCTGCCCAGCCAGCAAGGGGAACCGCTCAGCAACCGAGTGACAGCAACCCTGGCAGAGCAGCCCGCGGGGTAAAGCGTGAGTCCAGGCGAGGTGGGCAACGGAGGGACCGCGGGAGGCACGCCATTCCAGCCGGACGCCGACCCACGGACGCGGAAGGAACACACGGGCAGGGAGTGGGCGGAGCGGGGGGACGGGCTCCATCAGGTTGCAATCACAGGGGTGTCGGCACATGGGGACGCTGCCGCTCCTGCCCCGTGGCAGCCCCAGCCCAGCCCAGAGCTGGCACCAGACACACCCACCCCGCGGGCCTGCCTGCGATGAGGGCAGCCGGGGGCTGGCCTCCCGGGCCGCTGGTGCCCTCACTGCCCCGGCAGCCACGGCAGAGGCGGGCGCGGTGTGGGTCCAAGGAAGCTGCACCCACAAGCCGGCCCGCAGCCCGTCCGGCGCGTGCTGACGCCTCGAGCGCCACAGGCCTATCAACAGCCTCCGGGTCAGCCCGGTCTCTGTGCTGGAGAAGCAACCACCAGAGACGCCTGGCCTGTGCCCCAGTCCCGGCCCGCGGAGCTTCTTGAGCTGCGGCAGCGTCTCTGCTTCATGGTGGCCATGTGACTCCTAAGAGGGGCTCGTTGACCGGGGAGCCCCGTCCCGGGACCTGAGTTTTCAGGCTTTGAGCCGAGTGGTGTCGGCCCAGGGGCTGGCGGGGGAGGGGCGGGAGGGAGCTGGCGTCTGAGTTCAGCCTGAGGCCCACGGTCGCGCTGCACCTCTCGTATAACAGCACCCCAACCTCCAGCCAGCCCTTCCTCGAGTTCTGGGGGTCAGGCCGGGGACTGTCAAAACAGACGGCTGTGGCCACGAGACTCCCAACAGGGACCCCAGCACCGGCAGCTGGGGTCAGTGCCCCGGCCTCGGCGTCAGCCACCTGGGCCACGCACACCTGGGCGCTGCTCCCGACAGCAGGGCCGGGGGCACGGGCCCGGCACCGGTCCTGTGCTGGCCTGCTACTGGGGTGCACGGCGACAGGGCCGGGTCTGAGGGTCATAAGATACCAGCTCCCGGATTGTGGTCACGGAGAGGAAAGTCCTTGTTTAGGTGCACTCAGCGCTGTCAGGGCTAACGGAGCATGCGGACAACTTACTTGCAAAGGCTTCAAGCACAGAGTTCTTTTGTATTATTCTTGCAACTTAGTGGACATTTGAAATTGTGACCAAATAAGGGGGGAAGCGCAGAGATTATAAAAAGAGACCAGGTCCCGCTGCAAACCCCACCCCCACCCCAGTGCATTGGGCAGCGGACGCCTCCTGACCTCGGCTGTTCCGCAACAGGCCACGCCCCTGACATCTCCGCGCGGATGTGCCCGGCCACCCTGCCCCCACCGCCTGTTACGCAGGACCCGCCCTGCATCCCGCCTCCAGCGGGCCTGCCTGGCAACTGTTCCAGCTTAGAACTGACAAGGCGGGGCGGGGGGGGGGGGGATGCCCTTGGCTCCCACCCCAGCTCAGCCTGTGACACCCGGCAGTGGGGACCCGTGTTCCCGGGAGCAGAGGCAGCAAGACGCACCCTGGCTGCCATGGGGCAGCGCGGAGCCCGACTGCAGAGGGGCGGCCCCCCAGGAGAGGCCACGGAAGAAGGGGCGGCCAGGACCCCTGACTCTGCCGTGAGCCTCGCGGCCCACACGACAGAGACCACTGCCCGGAGCCCCGACAGAGAGGCAACAGGCTCGCTTCCCCCAGGAAGCAGGGGCAGGCCGCGGGCAGCCATCGGGCAACTCCGGCTTGAGCGTGAATCTCAGTGAAGCGTCCAGCTCAGTGCCTGAATGCCCGTGGCCCTGGCCTTAACTGGCCGCTGTCTGAGCAGCAGCAGGTGCTCACAGCCGGGGGGCCGGCCCCCCAGCCGCAGGCTCCCACGAGGCCTTTCCCTGGCACTCGCGCGCAGGGGTCTGGGCCAACGGAGGTTCTGCTTGGGGCCAAGGGCTGGTTCTGAGGGCCTCGCAGCTGCAGGAGCGCCGGCGCCTGGCCAAGCACGGGGCGCTGGCCCGTGGGGCCGCACCTGGAAACGAGCCGCACCCCGGCCCGGAGACGGCCGGCCAGGACACGCCAGGGCACCAGGGGCCGGCGCAGGTGCAGCCCTCCCTCGGGGGGTGGGGGGCACCAGCCCCCCCGGGCCCCGCGCCTGTCGAGGCGGATCCGGGGGGCTGCGAGGTGCGTCAGCGAGGACAGGCCTCGCAGGGGACGGCGCGTGCCAGGCCCCAGCTCCTACCTGCCGAAGCGCCCGACACCGTCCACCATGAGCCGCATCCTCCTCCTCTCCTGCGGCTCTGCCACGGAGTAGCGGACGCCAAGGAGCACGGGCAGCCCCAGTGCCGTGGCAGAGAGCACCTTCTTCCACAGCGGCAGGGGCCTCCAGGACCTGGGGGACACAGGGGCACGGCCGCCTCAGCCTCGGGCGCCTGTGCGGTCGGTGGAGCGCTCCCTCCGCACGGCACCCAAGTCGCCTGGCCTGGGCCCCACAGGCGCCCCGGGCCCCAGGCTCCAAGCTCTTTGGCTACATGGGAAGCCGCCCACGGGACCGGGGCCACCTACCTGCAGCCACCCTGCCGTGCCCCTCTCCAAGGGCCCAAGTCACCGCAAGCGTCAGGATGGCAAGACGTGCAGTTAACACACGGCGAGAGGCAACGGCAAGGGCACAGCGGGGGCCCGAGCAGCCGCTCACCGGTTCTCCCCGTCGCTGCCCCACCGGCCTGGGTCTCGCCGGCAGCCCCTCCACGGCACGGCCCCCGCCCTGCCCACTGGCTCCAGCTCTCACCCTCCCGCCCCTGCCTCTCGCTTTGGCCCCAACCCACCGCTACTGTCTGAGCCTCAGCTCTGGTTATCATCTGCTCGCAATGACGTGGCCAGGGTGCTGTCCCTGGACCCCCGTCCCAGCCAGGTTAGCCCACTGCACCAGGCACCAAACAGCCCATCGTGGGCCAGGAGGGTTCAGGGAAGGCCCACCCTCGCGCCCACAAGAGATCGAGAGGCTGCAGAGAACTCACCCCCAAGCAGGCGGGATCCTGAGGCTTCTCCTGGGGAAGGCGGCAGGGGCCGGCCGGCTCTGCAGCACCGCGCAGCGGAAGTGGCACCAGCATGACTGCAAAGTGGGCCACGGTGCAGGGTCAGGCCAGGCGGCCCCACGCCCTCGGCCTGCCCGGGACTGTCGGGGCCCTGCAGCCTCCTGGGTCGTGTCCCCTGCTGCCGAGACCACGGGGCCACAGCCCCAGGGAGGAAGTGTCAAGGGTGCCTAGCCAGGTCCTGGCGGGCTAGCTCGGCTGGGTCGAGTGTCGCCCCGGTTTGCCGAGGTCCCGGGATCCCTGGTCAGGGCGCGTGCAAGAAGCAACCCCTGCGCACATCCACAGTGGAACGACCAACTGATGTCTCTCTCTTCCCTTCCCTCCCAAATCAATAAATAAGAAAGATTGCTTCGCTACACAATCATCACAATCACGAAGACCAGACGCAGGAAAGAGTCCTCGCACAGGTCATTGTTCCGAAAGCCGAGGAAGGCACCAGCGCCGCCAGCTCCCGCGACCCCAGTGGCAGCGTGGCGACGCCAGCTGGCGGGGTGCGCAGGGGAGCTCTGTTCCCGGGGGGCGCTCTGCTCACGGGCAGCCGTGGTCTCCTGCCTCTCTTCCATTGCGGGTCTTACGCGTTCCTCAACCAGACTTCCAGACTGCAAATTCTGTTTTTGGGGGTTGGGGGGAACACTGTGCACAATAACCCATGGCCCACAACACAGACGCTGAGACCGTCGCTGTGAACTCTGGGCCAGATAAGGAGCTGACTCCCCAGTCGCTTCCTGCGTGCAGCCCTGAAGGCGGCTTCAAGGACAGCAAAACAAAGCAGAAGCCAGAGGAAAGTGCCCATGACCCGCTGTCCCATGAGGAGGTGGCGCTGGCAAAGCCCTGCCAGCAAGGCCACACACAGCGAGAGCTGGGGCGGCCAGGCCGCGACGGCACACGGGCCAGGGAAGAAGGTACCTGTGCGTGCGCACCGCGGTCTGCTGCGGGAGCACCGGCGCGCGCCTGCAGGGCGGCGGGTCCAGGCTGGGGTCCCAGCCTCCTCCCATCGGCATCAGATGGGGGCTCGCGACAGGCAGACGTGCCAGGAGGCCTCCGCCCTGCCCGCCCACACTGTGCCCGCCCCCGCACGTGCTTCTGCCCAGCCCGGTCGCCCGGCCCCGTGACCCGCCCCTGACTGTGTACCTTCCGCCACTCGCACCCCCTCACCCCACCCCCGCCACGGAGACCGGCCTGACAGCGGACCCCACGTGCGACCGAGGACCAGAGACAGACACAGACGGGGTTTTGGGGGCAGCCCCGGGTGCGAGGGAGGGAAGGAGGGCTCCCGTGGCCTGGCAGCGAGGGGACGTCCACGTGGACCCTGGAGAGTGTTCTAGACGGCGGACATGGCGTCAGCGAAGGCCTGCAGCCAGGAGAGGACAGGGAGTTTCTGAGAAGGAGACAGACCTATGTGGCTAGAAAACGTGCCCAGGGGCGAGGAAGGGCGGCGGCCAGTGAGAAGGGCAGGGCAAAGGGCGCATCCCAGGGCCCGGCCTCTCCCTGGGGCCCTCCCAAGGGAGGGGACGATGCACTGGGAAGGGCGGCCCTTCGGGAGGCGGCGGCAGGTGTCCAGTCAGAGGGGCCGCTGAGAGAGGGAGCCCGGAGGATTCTGGGCAAGTGTGAGGAGCCCCCGAGTACCACCAACACAAGACCACAGCCTGAAAGTAGCAACTGACAACAGCTTGGCTGCCAGCCACCGCGCTCGGCGCCCGCTGCCTGAGACCCTGCGCACCCCCGGCGGGCAGACCCAAGGGCCCGCCCGGCACCACAGCCTCGCCCCTGGGAAGCCGGCCGGGTCCGGGGGTCGGGGCCTCGTGCTGGGCACAGCCATTCATCAAGTATCTGTGCTTCTGTAAACATTTGCAGTTTTTCACAGGAAGACGTGAAATAAAAGGTTACGGGAAAAAAGCAGACCTGTAGGTCAGGAGGCAAGACAGACGGACACCGAGTGCAAAGCAGGAACACGCCGCGGCCTGGAAGCAGCACGTGCGCCACGCTCACTCGCGACGGCGGTTTTTGCAGACTGGGGTGTGGGGCAGCCCCGCGCCCCGCCGGCCTGTCGGCGCCGTTTTTCCGGCGGGCTCACGGGGTGCTCGGCGTGTGTTCGTGCGAGTGTGTTCCGATCCAGGTACGCACTTCTTTTTAGGACACGGTTCCTGCACACTCAACCGACTACAGCACAAACGTAACTTTTATATGTACCAAGAGGACGAAAATACCGGTGAGACGCGTTCTGCCGCAACACCCGTGTTACTGCGGAGACCTGGAACGTCCTTGTTCGGGGGACGTGCGCTGAAGGCCGAGAGGGTATGTTAAACCATCTGTGACTTACTATTGAATGGTCCAGTGACAATAAAACAAACATTTTCAAATAGAAATAGAAACATCCAGGGCAAGACATCAGACCTCGCTGGTGGGTATCTGTCAGCTGGTCTCTATACTTAAATGTTCTCACCATCAAAGGCACGAGGCATCGGCTACCCTACCCAGCGCCCCAGCCGGGGGTGGCGCTGCGGAGCCGGGGCAGGGGTCCTGCCTGCACAATTCCGCGCCAGGGTATCAGGCGCGGTCTGCAGACCCGCGCTGCTGTCACAGCTGGAGGGAAGCGGCGCGCCTGGCGTTGAGTGGGTGAAGGCCGGGGCCTAGGGCGGCCCAAAAGCTGAGCAGCTGGGGCAGGCCCTGACCCGGACCTCGGGGGCTGAGAGCGAATCCAGGCGCCAGCACTTGCCACCCTACGGCGTGGGCCAGTCACTTCCCTCTCCGCCCCTCAGTGCCCGTCTATGAAGCAGGTAGCGCCACACCAGTCAAGTGCGGGACCTGGGAACTGAGACGTGCACAGCCCTCGGAGCGCGGGGCCCGCAGGGGCGCAGGCTGAGCTCACGTGGGGCCAGCACGGCCCCTCGTCTCTCCCAGGCTGCCTCCTCGTTGCCCCAAGCCGCCCCCGCCCCCCCTCCACGGGCACCCAACGCGCGCTCCGCCCCTCGGCAGCCCTGCTCCACTCCACCTGACACACAGCAACTCACACTTGCTCGGCTCAACTGAACTGTTTGTTAACACAGCTCCCCACGGCCTCTCCCAGGGAAAGAGGGTTTGTTTTGCCCAGAAGAGAGACGACTCCCAAGATACGCAAAGCCTGGTGAGGGGTTCTGCACAGAATGGGAAGAGGCCAGAGCGGAAGGAGGCCAAAGGGGCTGCCGCAGGTCCCGTGAGGTTCGCCGTGGCGGGCAGAGAAGGGACATGGCCAGAGCCCACCGACGACCAGCCTGAGATGTCACATTCAGAACGAAGACCCGCCGGCGCTCCGAGCCCCCGTGCCGGCAGCCGGCAGGAGCAGAGCCAAGGGCCCCGGCTCAGAGGCTGCAGGTGCGACACCCCAGTGCCCGGCACAGCTGCCCTGAGGCCACGGCCGAACCCAGCACCACTCGACCCCCAGAGGCACCAGCGAAGACCGAGCAGCGGCCACACGCGCTCTGGCTGACCCGGCTCAGGCGGCGGACCCTGAGGGAAGCCTGCAGGGGCCTCCCAGTCCCTCCGCCTGGACGCACCAGGAGGGACAGCCAGTGAGGACTGGTCCCCGAAGATGTGTGCGCAGCCCCCGCCGGGCACCAGCCGGCTGCGGCCACTGGGGCTTCCTGGCGACCCCAGGGAGACAGCACAGGGCTCACGGGGGCCTCCTGCTGGTGACCGTCACGCGAGTGGGGCAGAGGCCACGAGCTCCAGGCTCCAGGACGGAGGGACAGGCCTGGTCTGCCACCTCGCTCCCCGACCTGGTGCTGGGCTGGCGCCCATCCTGGCACCACCCTTCCTCTCTGAATGGGGCGGCGGTGTCCCCCCCGCAAGGCTGGAAAGGCAAGACGGTGGGAATAAAGCACCTCGCTCAGGGGCCGCCCTGGCAGGCGCTCACGGAGGAGGGCGCTTCCTGCGCGGCCCCCGTCCCGGCCCCGGCTGGTGGCCCTGAAACCCTCCGGTGCAGAGGGCATTGTCCCTGCGTCCTTCCCATGCAAGGGCTGGTGAGAAAGTGTCCAGTTACCCAACTCACCAATAACCTTAAACCCCTTTGCTGTTAACACATACTTTTCTTGGGGGAGAGGGGGGAGAGAGAGGGTACAGAGAGGGCGAATGGCAACAGAGCACATGCAGCAAAAACAGCGCATTCCTAGTCCCACCCCAGTAAGTTCCATAGGGTTTTTTCTAGTGCTTTGCCTGCCCTGGCTGGCGTGGCTCCGTGGACTGGGCACCGGCCTGCAACCAAAGGGTTGCAGGTTCGATTCCCAGTCAGGGCACAGGCCTGGTTGCAGGCCAGGTCCCCAGTTGGGGGGCGCGTGAGAGACAACCACACATGGATGTTTCTCTCCCTCCCTTCCCCTCTCTAAAAATAAATAAAATTTAAAAGTAAAGTAACCAAATAAACGTAGAACATGCCGTCCCTCTGCAGGAGAGAACCCTAACCCGAATCATCTCACTCTAAAGCACGCGCCCCCGGCCTCCTGACAGCTGCCCAGCGCCGGCCGCCAGGGGCCCTGAGCACGAGACGGCACAGCGCCAAGGAGGCGCGGGCCGCGGTCCCCAGGAACCGCCCTCCCCGGGAGCCCCGCCCTCCCCGGGACCCCTCGTCCGGCCCCCGTAACACAGGTCCCTGCGGGGGAGCCCAGTCAGCCCAGGCCTGTTCTCCAAGCTGCTGTCCTGCCTGGAGAAGCCTTCGACTCCCCCTCCGCCGGGCCGTCCCTCCCCCGCTGTCCTTATCACACAGGAGAGACTGTCCGCTCAGCCTCTGGGTCCCCTGCAGCCTGAGCAGGGCCCGCTCCTCCGCCCCATCGGCACTTCTGGGTCTAGCACGCGCTTTGCTAGATGAAGCAGAAACTCCGCCAACACTTGCTGCGCTGAGATCAAGGGTGATAAGTTCAGAGCAGCCAAAAGCCAGGTGGCCCAGGCGAGGACACCAGCTGAGCCGCAGGCCAAAGGAGGGCACGGCCAGCGAGAGGTGAGCAGCCCTGCCGCAGCCTGGCCTGGTCAGGGCTCCGAGGGTGGGGCCTTGTGCCCACGATGCCACCCACTGCACCCACAGCCTCCTGCCAGCTGCGGACGCCCAGTGATCCCCAAACTCTCCCCATCACAGGGGAGGCATCCCCGAAGCCCAAAGAGGTCACGTCGGGCAGAGCCTGCAGCAAACTTTCCAAGGGCCAGTCCAGACTGGCTTCCACCGCATCACGGGTGCCCCGAGCCACAGCCAGGGCCTGAGCCGGTGCCGGCACACGTGGCGGGTCCTCCTCACCAAGACAACCGCACACTTTTCCCTGTTCCCCTCGCCCCCGCCCCCGCCGTGTACAGCGGAGGACGCGGACCTCCTGTCCCCTGGTCTGTCCTGCTTCCCTAGTGTGCACGCAGTAGGTCTGCAGAAACCCAGGGCTCGCCAGCACTGGCTGACAACCTACAAAACGGCAAGAAAGAGCGCTGAGCAGTAAGTAACACTGACAGCGGGCAAAGCTCCTAAACGGGGCACTTTACCGCAGAACATGCCGCCGTGTGGTCACGTGCTTTGTTTCCGTAAAGCCCGGAGATTAGATCGGACACAGCCTATGAGAAGGAGGGTGAGGACACCTGCAACAAGCGAGGGCCCGAGTCCCAGGATGAGGCGGTCAACAGGGGTGTCCAGCGCGCAGCCCACCCGCCGCATGAGGCCCAGGGACGGCTATGAATGCCACCCAACACAAAATTGTTGACTTAATTAATTGACTTAAAACATTTTTTTGCTCATCAGTTTTCGTTAGTGTTTGGGTATTTAATGCGTGGCCCAAGACGGCTCTTCTTCCAGGGTGGCCCAGAGACACCCGAGGCTGGACAGAGCCCTGCAGCGAGCTGACGCGGGCCCAGCAATGTGACCGCGGGGCCCAGGGTCCCCACCCCTCATCAGCCGGAGGGGCGCGCAAGCGCGACCTCGGGACGAGCCCGGGAACCGGGCCAGGGGCGCCGCGCAGGAAGGGCCGCGGCCGCGGGCGACCCCTCGGCCCGCCAGGCGGGCCTGCTGCCCTTGGAGGCAGGGAGCAGGATCGAATTAGGGACCAGCAGGGCCCCTGCACCGCGTCGGGCGCACCCGGGGACCTGATGCGTGAAGAAGCTTTATGAACTGTGAAGGGCTCCGCTCCAGGCCAGGTCCACGCCCCCCGCCCGCCCGTCGACCCGTGGCCGACAAGCACCCCAAGGCCTGGAGCTGCTCGCCGCCAGCTCCGCGTCCACGGAGGTCATCGTGCTGGGAATGGCTAACTCTGCACGGCCAGGCTCGCGGGCAGAGTGTGGGCTCCCCAGAAAACCCCAAGTGTCAACGCCGGGGGACCGCCTTCGTCCCTGCGGCTCCCGGCCGCGGCAGGAAGGGCCACATTCTAGGAGAGGGCAGGGTGACAGGGGTGCTCGCGGTCACGGGCCCCGGTCGGAACCTGCAGGTCAGGGCACGGCCAGGGCCGGGCGGGCGAGCGGCCACGGAAAGGGCGCCGCCGCGAGCCGCAGAAGCGGCCGGCAGGAGGCCCCCGGCCTGGGTCCCAGCGAGCCCGACGCCCCGAGGGGCCCGGGGGCACGCGGGGCGGGCGCGGCTGTCCACGGCCCGGAGCCAGGGCGCTGGCCGCCGCGCCCGCGCAGACTCCAAGGTGTGCGGGCGGCGGCTGCCGGGGGCTCCTCAGCGGCACTGGCGTCCGCGCGCAGGGCCTGGGGCTCCGCGGGGAGCCTGAAGGGCGGGGTCCCAGGGAGCCGTAGGGTCCCCTAAGGAGCTCCGAGGGTCCGGGGCGGGAGCCTGGGGGCAGCGTCCCCGACGGGGCCCGGACGAGGCGTCACTGGGATGCGCGGGAACCTGGGCCTTCGAGCCCTAGGGCCCTGGCGGGCGGCTGACAGCGACCGGGGTAAGGGACTCACCCGTCGCCACATGTTCGCCCTCCGCTCCGCGCCACCTCGCCGCAGCTCGCGTCGCCGCTGCCGGCACTCAGCGCGGGAAGCGGTGCATTGCGCACGCGCGCCCGGCGGGCAGCGGCGGGGGCGGGCCAGCCTGGGGCCCCGCCCCCAGCGCGCCCGCGTCCGTGGCGGTGCAGCGCCCCCTGCCGGCCCCCCCGCGGCCCAGCTCCAGGGCGCGCGCGCGAGCCGCGGCCGCTGGTTCTCGCGGCCCTCGAGCGCTTCGCCCGCCCCGACCAGGCAGCTTCTGCAAAGGCCGGTCCGCCCCCGACACTGCCCCATCTACCTGGGGCTGACATCACTGCCGCCAAGCCCTCGGGTGGGCGACACCTGCCGGCCTGCCGGCCTCCCGTGGCCTGGCCCTGCCGCTTGAGCCGGGGAGCCCGCGAGCCCGCGTCTCCTGCTCCGCACGCGCTACCGCCTCACCATCACACCAAGTTCTTCGGAAGCTTCCCCCTCCGTGGCGGCCGCCTGCTGGCAGCCTGTCCCCGTCCCCAGGGACGCCACCTTCCACGCTGTCAGCCCAGAGGAGCCTGTCCATCCGACTGTTCCCGGGCGGGCTCAGGCGATGCCGGGCCTCCGCCCCACAACACGCAACACCCTCTTCTGCTGTCGTCCACAGCACCGCCTAGCTCCCTCCGCCTCCAGGCTGCGTCCAGGCAGCCGTCCCCGATGTGCTTTGGCTACCTTGGCATCTCGTCTTCACCTGTGTCCCGGTGCCCAGGCCGACGTTCCCAGTTGCACATGGTCGGCTTCCCTACCTGACCCCTTCTGTTTATGAAACAGGCCCAGGAAATAGGCCAGGCCACTCCAGAAGTGCCTCCCGGGCATCTGAGAGGTGGCAACACCAAGGCGCGAGCCTGGCTGTGCGGGACACAAACATGGCTGAACGCCTGGGCCATGGGCGGCCCTGAGGCTGGGAGCGGGCAGCCGGAGGAGGGCTGGGCTGTCCTGTCCACTCCTGGGAAACAAGGGACAGCAGTTTCCCACCCCAGCCGAACAAAAGAATGAACTCCATCCTATTTCTACATCAAAGGACAGAAGTACTGGCCTGGCTCCCATCCCAAGCAGTGGGGCTCCCTGTCCAGGACAGGGCCCAGGCCCCAGGACAGCATGGGGGTCTCCCGCCCCTGATGGAGCTGTGTGGAGCCAGTTCCTCCACATGGGGATGCTGGGCCCCAGGGGCGGCCAGAAGACCATCCCTGCAGTGACCACCGCTCCCAGTCCACTCAAACCCCAGACTTCTGTCCCCTGTCAGCCCCCGGCGCCCAAACCCACCTTCAGAATCTCCCAGCCTCTCGGTGTTCCCAAGCCCTTGAGTCCCCTAAACTGCTGTTAAAGAAAAAAACAAGAGGAGGAGTGTATTAAGAAACATGACTCACACAGATATAAAATGAGCAACGTGTCCCATCCCCAAAGATATATCCAAGCAGTAGGCTCCAGCTTGTTTGTCCTGTGATTTTATTTGGAAATAGGGTTGTACAGCTGTAACTAAGGGTCTCTAGATGAGATCATCCTGGATGAAGATAGGCCCTAAATCCAACGGCGGGCGCCCTTCGAAGGACAAGGACAAGGATGAAGAGAAGGAGGTCTGAGACACAGGGGAAGTTCCTGTGAAGACAGAGAGAGAGGCGGGAGTGATGCAGCCACAAGCCGAGGCGCAGCGAGAATCGCGGGCAGCCACCGGAGGCTGGGGCGGGGCCTGGAACGCTGCCGCCCACTGCGAGCGCCAGGAGGGACGAGCCATGCCAGCACTTGGGGTTCAGACTCTGGCCTCCAGCACTGTGGAAGAATAAACTTTGGACACTGTAAGCCACCAAGTTTGTGGTAATTTGTTCCAGCAGCAACTCAAAAAGTCATACAGTGTGTCAAAGGCTTATTTAAGCCATTAACTAATGAGAGAACCAGGAATGTGGTTACAAGTTCAAAAGAGAAGTTCAAAACCTCAGATTTATATGGAATAAAGGAAGATTGCAATGAATTTTAAAATGATGGAGGTTTGCTGCCCTGGCTGGTGTGGCTCAGTGGACTGAGTGCCGGCCTCGGAACCGAGGGGTCACTGGTTTGAGTCAGAGCACATGCCTGGGTTGCAGGCCAGGCCCCCAGTAGGGGGCATGCGAGAGGCAACTACACATTGATGTTTTTCTCCCTCTCTTTGTCCCTCCCTTCCCCTCTGTTTAAAATTTAATAAATAAAATCTATAAAAATAAAAAAGAGAGAGATGGAGGTTTGCTTGGTCCACAGGCAAGAAAAACAATTGTGTCTCCACTGGACCTCATTGATGTGCAGGCCTATAAAATGGAAGGGCGTGCATTGCTGCTGGTCCCCTGCAGCATCCAGAGCTGAGCTGTAAAGCAGCTCCGGACAGGTGGACCCAGGCAATGTGAGCCTTTCCATTGGAAGTATCGGTAATGGATTTTGTTTACTTCAAAGTTTAAAATTGTCATCATCTTGTATGTGCCCTGACCGGAGAGGAGATCAAACCTGCAACCTTAGCATATCGGACAACACTCTACCCAACTGAGCTACCCTTCGATTAAAAAAGGAGATTTCAAATAACAGTCACGCTGGGCCATCGAATGAGGCCGCTCATAACCCCCGCGGCCGAGGGGCTCCCCGTGCCCCCCGGCCACATAGACCACCTTAAATTTGCTTCCCAGGAGTTTTCGAAAGAAACCTCAGACTGACTTTCAAAAACCTCTATTCCTTGTTTTCCCGAGGTGAGAAACATACTTCCTATGATTTGGGCGAATTTCTACGTTCGTGGGCCCAGTAGGAAGTGAGCTTCCTGATCACCTGCGGGGCCCAGAGTCCACAAAACCCCAGGGTTTTGGGGCGCTGTTGCCGTAAGCCGGCCCGAGTCCGTCAGAGAGGCCCATCACACCGGAGCCACGAGCGGCCTCCAGCAGCACGACAGCCCACACGCAGGGGCCCTAACCGGCTTCTGGGCGCGCCTCGGTCGAAAGAACGGCAGACTCTTACCGAACCCACAGAAATGGCTCTATTGTCGGGAAAAGTAAGGACGCTCAGAAGGGTCTGATAAGCGGGGTCAGGAGGTGATTCGGTGAGAATCCGCTGTCGCTTAAAAAGGTGGCATTTCCGTTTACAAAGAGTCTAGTAAATTGGTATGGGTTACATGTTGAGAGTAAAACAGAATCAATTAGATATTCCCTCCCCAAAAATAATATATTTGGGGAAGAGAAAGGATTGCCACCCAGCCCGTGTCAACCCAGGATGGCGGGCAGGCCCCCAGCGGCCTCGCAAACCCCCTGCCCCAGAGCCCCGCCCACAGGCCGGGAGAGCCCCGCCCACAGCCCCTCCCCACCGTGTCCCGGTTCAGGACTCAGCCACAGACTCCGCGGCAGCTCGAGGAGTAAGGGAAGGGCCTCCTGCTGCTCACTGTTTCGTGCACCCAGGGCACAGAGAAGTAAACAACGCTGACAGTTCTTCAGGCAAATGACCAGGGCAACTTGCCCCTCGCGGCTCCTGTGCCCCGTCACCAACTCCTTGGCCGCTGGGCTTGGGGGGGCCGTCAAGCAGAGAGCCTGGAAATGCTGACTCGGTCCCCTGTCCGAGCAACGCCAGCACAAGACGAGCCCAAAGTCCCTTCTCCGAGGGGTCAGAGTCCAAAAGACCAGTTTCCACCCTTGTGTGAGGCTCTGTCTCCCAAGGGCTTGCGACTGCGGGGCCTCAGGCAAAACAGAAGGTGACAGAGATTCCGTGGGTGGTTAGTTTGTTACCCGACCTTTTGTTTTAAGGCTTTATTTATTTACCTTTAGAGAGAGGGGAAGGGAAGGAGAAAGAGAGGGAGAGGGGATCAAACCTACAAACTTCTCTGGGCCAGCACTCTGATTTGGGCAAATTCGGGGACACATCAGTGTGTGCTTGACTCCTGCACGCCCCCTGCTGGAGACCTGGCCTGCAACCCCGGCGTGTGCCCCGACTGGGAATCGAACCGCAGACTTTTTGGTTCACAGGCTGGTGCTCAATCCACTGAGCCCCACCAGCCAGGGTTATTTAATTTAATTTATCCTCTTCCAAGGACTTTTTTCCCCCATTGCTTTTAGAGAGAGGAAGCGCGGGGTGGGGCCAAAAGAAACATTGATCAGCTGCTTTCCCTCATGCGCCCCAACCCAGGGACTGAACCTGCAGCCTGGCCGTGCACCCTGACTGGGAATCAAACCAGCAACTTGGAGCTTTGCAGGACGACGCTCTGCCCCCAACCAACCTAGCCACACCGGACTGGACACCACCCAACATTTTTAAATGTAAGACGCAACAGTGAATGTTACATCTGATTTATAAATACGGGTGAATAATTTATACATTCAATAAAAATTATGGGGACTTTTGTTGAAAAATGGCAACATGCGATATAAAATAATCCTAAGGCATCATACACATCAAATCTAAGAATCTACCAAGAGTTTCAGTAAGGCGACTGGTTGAGTCGGGAGCGGAGGCCAGAGAGACGTCTCTACTTTTACAGAACTGCAGGGGGCAGTCACGTGCGGCTGGTCGAAAACGCTGACCTAGACGACGCTTAGATGGAAGCGAGAGAGGTCAGGAGGGGCTGCGCCCACACTTGACGCCTGACACTGTGGCGGGTAACCTGCCGTCCTGTTGCCGGGGCGGCAGGCAAAGAGCCGGCAGGGCCTGGGCGGACGGAGGACGGCTCAATAGAAGGACCACACGCGTTTGGGGGGGGGCCCGGCAAACCTCCAGGGACTGCCTGGGGAGCCTGTGATGTGTGTGTGAGCCGCTGGCACTCATGCCGCTGCACAGCACAGCCCCGACCTCGGGAAGCCGAGCGCCGCTCCTGGTGGCGCCCCTCACAGCAACCACCCACAAACCAACCTGATGAAGCGGGCCCCTGACATCTCCCCAGGGGGAAGGACAAGCCCCCGGGGAAACCCCCGCTCCCCAAGGCCCTCCAGGGAGAAACTAGAGCCCTCTGCGCGGGCGCGATTGTGCAGCCGCTTCGGAGAAGCGGTTTTGAAACGTTCAGCAAGCGTGGCCGCCCAACTCGGCCCTTCCGCTGGGAGGCAAAGGGGAGCCTGCGGGCACACAGACGCAGAGAGACGGGCACAGTCGTTCCTGCCCACGGAGATCCAGGAAGGGAAACCTCATTTGGGGTAGATGGGAGGCCGGTGGGGATGCGCTCACTCAGCCAGCGGGCGTCTCAGGCAGGCGGGACGGTCAGTTTCAGACGCAGCGGAAAGAACCCTTAACCAGACTCGGCAGAGACACTCAGACTCCGTTCTCAATGCCTCGCAGGCGTCTGAACCAAGGCTGCCGCGGGGGTGACCAGCCGGTGGCCTGTCCGGGGACTTGCATTTAGACTGGGCACCCCTCCCTTGGTGGCTGCAGCCTTCTGAGAAGGGGCGCCCACAGAACGATCTTCCGCAGGGACCACCGCGGGGTGGCCAGCCAGGGGACCCCTTCAGTCCACTTGCTCAGTGAGCCTCGTTTCCACTGCCCGCACAAAGGGCTCAGAGTTTCGAGGTCAATTTGCAGCGTGTCTTTCATCAAACCGCAGAGCTTCCCCTGGACGCCCCTGGAGAGCTCACCAAGGTCCTGGCCTGAGGGGTGCAGTGGAGAAAGGTCCCACCTGCGTCGCCCCCCGCTTGGCCTGGCTGGGTCAGAGGCCCAGGGAGCTCTCCCTTGCAGGTGGAGAGCAGGTCAGGGACGCGCCCCCCCCCCCGGGGAGCTGGAGGTGGGCACCTAGGAGAGGGGGGGCTCCCAGGGAACGTGATGGGTAGTCACCACGAGGACAGACTCTCCCCCGGGCAAGGAAAGAAGGAAAGACAGAGCGGAGCCCTGCACCCCACACGGCTCAAGCCAGTGTCTGGGCTGGAGGTGGCCCAAGTGGCCCCAGGCGGCAGGCGTGCTGGGGGCGGGTGCGCGAGGGCAGGCAGCCGGCTCCGTGCCCTTCCCCTGGCTGGGCTCCCAGCTGCCCCCACACTCCCGTTCTTCAAAGCGAGACCGGGAGGCCCCTCTGAATTCTGTGGCAGGGACCGTGGTGCCGCGTCCCCAGGTCAGGCAGCAGCCCCTGGGCAGATGCAAGGGAGGGGCCTCGGCCACCCTGCCGCCCAGGCGCTATCACAGCTACAGCCGCCCCGGAACCCACACCCGTTGGGGGCTCTGTGGGCTGAGCAGCCTGGCCTGGGCAGGTGCCGACCCCACCCGCCGGCCTTTGCCCGAAGCCAGGTCCTGGGCTCCCTGCCGTTGCAGCCCAGGCGGTCACACCTGGGAACGGAGGCTGCCTGGGCCTGCCCCCTGGGGACAGCGGGGGGCCTCAGGTCCTGCCTGGGCCATGGCCTCCCTCCAGGGTCTCCTTCAAGCGCCCCAGCCCCAGGCCTGAGAGGCTCTTAGGGCAGAGTGGGAGAGCGGCTGCCACCCACTGTCCGACTGGAGGTCTGAGTACCCCACAGGCCCTTGGGGCAAGGCCCAGCTCTGAGGGGCCTGGCGTGGTGGGCTGCCCTTCCTCCCTGGCCAGGAGAGGGAAGGGCGTGCCGGTGGCGCCTTCCTGCCTGGGGTATTTCAGCCCCTGCCTTGTTCCCTGTGGGGCACCGACCCACTGACCGGAAGACACTGCAGACTTCAAAGGGCAGCGGCTTCCTCAAACCCCGCTTTCAGCCCCAGGCTGCCCGGGGGGAGCGGTGCTGATGAGGACGTGTGGGAGGGCACAGCCACGCCAGCCACCCTGCCTCTTGTCCTCCTCCCTCTGAAGCTTCACTCAGCACCACCAAAGCCCCCACCGCCAACGGCCGAAGCTGCCCCAGCCCCGGCCCCTGCCCCAGGAGGCCAGGGCTGCACCCCGCACCCCACCCGATGTTTGCCGGCACCGAGCGGAGGCCCTGGCGGTCAACATGTGCAGGCCCTTCCCGCCCTCAGGGGCTCCCTCATGTTCGGCTGGTCCTGCCAAGGCAGGCGGGGCTGAGAGGAACGACAGGGAGGAAGACGCCCTCAGAGGCCCACGCACAAGGAAGTCAGGGACAGTGGCCACGTCCCCCGGCACCCGCTTGGCACCCGCTTGCTGCTCCTCGAGGTGCCAGGGGCTCCCCGCCATGGTGGGGCCCCCCCGCCCCCCGCCCCCGCCCCCTGCGGCCCAGCTCAGGTGCTCCTCGCAGCCCCTGCTGGGGAACCGCCCAGCCCAGGGCAGGTGTGACTGATGCAGGAACCCGAGGCCCCACGCACACCCGCCCCAGGGTGGCATGGCCTCAGGAGGGAGGTAGCTGATGACAGAATAAAGGGCTTGGGGCCTCTGATTGTGGAAAGAGCCAGAAACTGGAGGCTGGTAGCTCAGGGAAGGGGTCCACGCTTTTGAGAAGAAAGGTCCTGTGACGCTGGAACCTCACGCACAGTCTAAGCCGCGCTCACTGTGCCTGGACCTCGCCACAAAGCCCCGGCGGAAAACCCCCAGGGCAGAAAACGGCCAGGGAGCGGACCACGCGGGTCCCACGGCTGGGGGTGTGGGGTGCCCTGGCCGGCTCAGCCCACCCCCCAACCCCCCCGCCTGCAGCCTGGAGCTGCCTGTGGGGCGGTGGCCCAGCTCGGGGGCCTCGCCGCTCAGCTGCAGATCCGGGAGGGCTGACACTGGGTGGACACCGCGCTGCCTCTGACCACCCGAGCCTCTGAGGGTCCCTGGCCCTCCCTCTAGGCCGCTCTCAGGGGGCAGGGGCAAGTCCAAGTAAAAATGGTTGTGGGGGGCAGGAGTCCTGGGACCAGGCCATAACCCCAGGAACCGTGGGAACAGTGGGGGGCGGCGGGCTCCTGCAGAGCAGCCAGCGCCTCACTGGACTCAGGGGAACTCCATCTGCACAGGAAGAGGGACGCCAGGGACGAACGTGCTTTACTGCGCAAACCCCACACGGGGCGGCGGGCCAGGCCTGTGCACGGCCCCAGTGGGACCCGGTTTGGGCCGGAAGAGCCAGGGCCTCCTGTAGAGTGTGTTGGGGCCCGCGCTCGGGCCACTGCATGGGGAGGCCCGCCCCGGGCAGGGGGTAACCCGGCCGAGGACAGGTGGGGCGGAGCGAGGTCCCCACGTGCCCAGGTTTAGGGTCCACAGAGGTCCACACAGTCCTTCCCGCTGCGGAACACGTGGTAGATGCTGGTGGGAGGGAACATAGCGACAGCACCAAGCAGGGAGCCCACCTGGATGGCCACGCCAGCGGCCAGCAGGGCCGGCTGGCCCCCCCCATGCAGCAAGGAGCTGGCGGCCACCTTCACGTATGAGAACAGCCCCAGGCACAGCACCCACGACAGCACCTGGAGGCAGAGACACAGCAGCAGGCTGAGCACGCAGTGTCCTGGCTCTGAGGCAAGCGCCCCACCCACCCTGTTTGCTTCGGTGTCCCCAGTGTGCTCACCACAAGGACCGTCCCCGCAGCAGTGCCCACGAGGGGTGGACAGGGGCTCAGGACCGCCAGCGCCATCAGGTAGGCCCCGAAGAGCATGCCCAGAACAGAGAGACTGCCCAGCCCTGCCAGAGACCTGCCAGGGGAAAGCAAAAAAACTCAGGGCCGGCTGTCCTGGGGCCGGGCCCCCCTCCCTCAGTTCCAGCCCGCGGGGCTTCAGGCCCTCTGTGCACCTGCAGAGCACGCCCATGGCCAGGAAGCAGGCAAGGGGGTTGGCGGCACTGCCCAGGACCGCGGCCAGGTGGTAGGCCAGGCGCCCGTAGGGCAGGCAGGAGAAGCTCTGCACCGCAGGCAACACGCCATTGGTCAGCGCGTTGGTGACGGCCAGCAGGCCCAGCAGGCAGGCGCTGCGGGCGGACAGCAGCCCCCGGGCCTCCGGGTCCGGGCCGGGGGTGGTGCCGGCCGCCTGGGAAGGTGGCTCCTGCAGCGGTGAGGCCTCCTCCTCATCCTCCTGCTCCACGCCAGGGGCTCTCACCCGCAGGCCCAGCCCCGCACCCTCTGCGGGCACAGACGGAGGCAACGGCAACAGCAGCAGGAGACCCTGGAAGGCAGCGGCCGAAGTGACCAGGAGGGCGGCGAGTATCCCGAAGAAGGTGCTGGCGGGAAAGCGCTCCGGGAAGTTGTGGGGAGGCCCCGGGGTGCCGTTGGTGGGGGCTGGCGGGCACTGGAGGCGGCCCACGCCCTGTGCGAGGGCCAGCACGCAGGGCAGCAGGGCGCTCAGGCCCTGGCCCAGAAAGAAGGACCTCAGGAAGGGCGGCGGCAGGTGGCTCAGGAAGGGCAGGAAAGTGACGTTCGAGGCACAGCAGGCCAGCGCGAGCACCGAGGCCAGTGTCAGGAAGGCCACGGAGTGGTCCTGCCCGGCCACTGGCGCCACGTGCTGCCACAGCGGGGCAAGCAGCACTGTGCCTGCCACACTCAGCGCCTGCACCACCTGGATGGGGGCCTGCTCGCCCTTGCCCGGGGCCAGCCGTCTCCACAGGCTCACCAACAGCAGTCCCAGGTTCCCCAGCGCCACGAGCACACAGAGGTAGGAGGGGAGGCTCCAACCTGCAGAGCAGGGGGAGGCCACATCAGAGGCCAAGGGACTAGGCCACGGGAGCCCAGCCCCGGGGCAGAGCTGGGGGCGCTGGCTGGCCCACTCTCACTCACCCTCAGGAAGGTCTTTTACCACCACTGGCAGCTCCACCCAGATCCCGTTAATGGCAGCCCAGGAGCCGATGCCAAAGAGGGCTACCAACAGGTGGGTCAACACCAGATGGCCCAGTGGGGGTGCTGCCATTCAGCCACGGCTGGGCCCCCAGGACAGGGCTGGGTCCCCCCACGTAGGTCCAAAGGAGGCGCCTCCACTCTTCTGGGAACTGAAGGCCGTTTCTAGCCTGAGGGGAACAAACACACAAGCGGAAGCGTAAGGAAGGGACACAGGAGTCAGAATGCCAGACAGCCAGGACCCGGGAAGGACGGGGGTGGAGAGGAGGAGGGGCCAACACCAGGACAACGCAGTACCGGTCTCCGGTGTCAGGACCACGACACAGCAAAGTGGAGAAACACAAAACCAGACCCAAACTGCCACGGCGCGCCCCAAGGAAGGATGAGAACGAGGGAACTGACTTCGGGGCTGCCCAGGCTACCAGCGGCCTCACCCCAACAAACACAGGGACAAGGACCCCGTGTCAGGGGCGCGTGTAAGGCGCCACGCGCGCGCCTCTGCGTTTTCTGCGCCCACCTGTGAGTCCGGAGCTTTGGTGAGATCCAGGAGGCAGGAGCCCCGTGGGGCTCTGACAGGGTGTGGCCAAAGCGAGAACTGCCCACGCTGCGTTAGGTGGGCGGTGGAGGGCAGCCCAGGGCGCCAGGGTCCCCGTGCCTCGGGGTACAGAGCCCGAGCGCTCCCCGATCCAGCGGCCGGTCTTCCCGCCACGCGGCGAGGGCGCCGCCTCCGGCCCGGGATCGTGGCTCCAGCCCAGAGCTGGTGGGGCCGAGGAATGCGGCGGGGACAGAGGAGGGACTCTTACTCGCCGGCTGAGACACGCGAAATTCCAGGGTCGGACAGCCCGCCCTCTGCCGGAAGTCCCGCGCCGGAAGCGGTGAGTCTGTGGGGAAGGGGCAGCCCCGCCCCTTCCGCTCCGCTGGGTCAGGCGGTGGAGCGCGACCGGCGGTTATGGCTCCCGGCGCGGCCCGGCGGCCGCGGCGGCCCCGGCGCCGAGTCCGGGGCGCACCGCCGGCTGGGGCGCAGGCCCGCTCGGCCGAGGACTGGTGGTGGGATCGGCTGGCGCCGAGCGGCTCCGGGTATCACCTGCTGCAGTCGGACAGCATGCTGCTGGTGCTGCCCGGCTTGGGGCCCGCCCGCGTCCGCGCGCACAGGCGCGCCGCCCGCCGCACTCAGCGGCTGCGGCCCCCCGGGTCCCGTGCCACGGCGGCCAAGGCCAGGCCCAGATCCGCACCTGCTCCCGCGCCCGCGCCCGCGCCCGCATCCACGCCGCAGCAAGGGCCCGACCCGGGCTGGGGCGACCGCATCCCTTTGGAAATCCTGCTGCAGATTTTCGGGTTGCTGGTGGCGACCGATGGGCCCATGCCCTTCCTTGGCAGGTACCCCGGCTCCATCGAGCGCAGCGGCCTGGCTCAGGCTGACCTGTTGCAACCCAGCGCGAGGCAGAGGCGGAGGGCGTGTACACACGCCTGGCAGAGAGGCAGTCTCTCCGGGGCTCCATTTGGAGCCCCGGGCGCCCGACTTTGAGCTGACATGTCTGCAGCGATGTCAGAGTTGCGGCCGGCCGGCAGCCAGTGGCGTGGCGTCGATGACAGAAGGCCCTGCCCTTCAGAGCAGCTTTTCTTTCAGGGCTGCGCGCGTGTGCCGCCGCTGGCACGAGGCCGCCTCCCAGCCTGCTCTCTGGCGCACGGTCACCCTGTCGCCGCCACTGGCTGGCCGCCCCACCAAAGATGGGGCCAAGGCTGAGAAGAAGCTCCTCACTTCCCTGGAGTGGTTTATGCCCAATCGGTGAGGCACCGCCTCTTTTCTTTCGCCCCTTCCTGCGCCAAGGGGACGGGTGGGGAGGACCCCGATGGAGAGACAGCGTGGGAACGCTGACCAGTGTTGCCTCTGCTGTGCCCCCAGGTTCTCGCAGCTCCAGAGGCTGACCCTCATCCACTGGAAGTCCCAGGTACATGCTGTGCTGAAGGTGAGTCGCGCGGCTTCCCCGCACGTGAGCTGTAACACTCTGGCGTCGCCATTGTTTTCACAGGCCCCGGTGCTACCGCATGGGCATACCCGCCGGGTTCTCCTTCTCTGTTGTCTCCTCCACCAGGGAGACGCGGACGCAGGAGCCCCAGGTCGGCATGGCATGGGCAGAACGGAGGCCGTAGCAGAGGCAGCCAGAGGGGCGCCGGCCCCCGGTTTCTTTCCTTGTCGACCATCACCTGCCCTCCTCCACTTCTGCTGGGTCTTTGTCTCCTGCAGCTTGTAAGCGAGTCCTGTCCTCGGCTCACCTTCCTCAAGCTTTCCGACTGCCACGGTGTGACCCCGAACACGCTGGTCATGCTGGCCAGAGCCTGCCCCCAGCTCCACAGCCTGGACGTACAGCATTCCACGGTGAGCCCGGCGCCCCCCGGAGCCCCGGAGAAGCCCAAGCTGAGGTGACGGGTAACCCTGTGCTGGGTCCCTAGGTGGAGTCCACGGCTGTGGTGAGCTTCTTGGAGGAGGTCGGGCCCCGAATGCGCAAGCTGTGGCTGACCTACAGCTCCCAGACAACAGCCATCTTGGCCGCACTGCTGGTAGGTTGGTGACAGGCAGGAGCAGAGCGGGTGCTGACGCAGGGACGGCCAGGCCACGGACCCTCCGCACCCCCGCCTCTGCAGAGCGGCTGCTGCCCCCAGCTCCAGCTCCTGGAGGTGAGCGCGGGCATCCACCGGAACAGCACCCCGCTCCAGCTGCCAGTGGAGGCCCTGCAGAGAGGCTGCCCCGAGCTGCAGGTACCTGGCGCCCCACTTCTTCCACCCGTCGTGCCCTCCCCACCTGCAGCCTGGCCCTTGCTCCCAGGTGCTGCGGCTGCTGAACCTGGTGTGGCTGCCCAAGCCTTCTGGGCGGGCGGCGGCCCCCGGCCCGGGCTTCCCCAGCCTCGAGGAGCTCTGCCTCGCCGGTTCCGCCTGCAACTTTGTGAGCAACGAGGCCTTGGGACGCCTGCTCCACGGCTCCCCTGGCCTGCGCCTTCTGGACCTCCGGGGCTGTGCCCGAGTCACACCCGCTGGCCTGCATGACCTGCCGTGTCAGGGTCAGCTGCCCCCCGGGGCGGGGCGGGCGGGCGGGCAGGCAGGCGTGATGCGGGGGCCCTTGCCCACCCCACAGTTCACCCCACTCCTCTCCTCACCAGAGCTGGAGCAGCTGCATCTGGGCCTGTACGGCACGTCAGACCGGCCGACTCTAGCCAAGGAGGGCAGCCCCCTGCTGACCCAGAAGTGGGCCCGCACGCTGCGGGAACTGGACTTGAGCGGCCAGGGCTTTGGCGAGAAGGACTTGGAGCAGGCCCTCGCTGCCTTCTCGGGCGCCCCTGGGGGCTCGCAGCCAGCCCTCTGCTCCCTCAACCTCAGGGGCACGCGGGTCACACCAAGCACGGTCAGGTCAGCACCCCCACCCCCGGGCCCGCTGAGCCAGTGTGGCATGCCTCCCATCCGGCCTGGCTTGCCAGCTCCAGGGGTCCAGAAGGGGAGCGCATACAGGCCAAGCCTCTGCTTGGGGTCAGCCCTGGGGATGCCGAGGGGACTGGAACGGGGCCTCAGTGGCTTGGGTGGCAGAGCAGCTGTGGCACACGGGCAGGGGGCTCCCCGGCTGGGCAGGCGCCCGGTGGCTCATCTCCCGTGGCCCACCCCGCCCCACAGCTCCGTGATCAGCAGCTGCCCGGGCCTGCTGCGCCTCAACCTGGAGTCCTGCCGCTGCCTTCCCCGGGGCCTGAAGCGGGCCTACCGGGGCCCCGAGGACGTCCAGTGGTGCCTGGAGCAGCTGCTCACCAGCCCCCCCTCCCCCCGCTAGGCAGCCTGGCCTTCCAGCCTTTCCCAGTTTTGGATGTTGGAACATTTTGTTACAATAAACATTTTTAAGAACTCTGTGTGGTCCTTGGGGTTGGAGTGAGGGGATGGGGCCTCCACCCGAGGGAGGGAACCACTGGGAGCTAGAGCTGGCCTGGAGGCTGTGGTCTCTTTTGGCGGGGGTGAGCCCCCAGGACTCACTGCTGGGCTGGAGTCCCGGACTAAGCGCGTGTGTGCCCCTGCCCCGGAGCGCCTCAGTGGAGCTGACCGCGAGGCCCTGGCCTGGGCCGGCGTGGCGTCGGAGGGGCGAGGCCCTGCTCTGCTGGGGGTTTTGGGAGGGGTGCCTGCCTACAGGTTTCCGTGTGTCTGAGGACTGGGGTGTCCCACCGCCCCATCCTTCAGTTGAGGATTTGAACCAGGCTGTACAGGGGGCCTCCCATGGGTGCGGTGGGGCCAGCAGGGAAGTGTTTGCCCACTGGAGTGACCCAGCCAGGGGACTCTCCTGGGAAGGGGTAACCAACAGTACGGACCCTTCTAGAACGCACCACCTCAGGCTTCTAGAACCCGAGCTGCCGCCCAGCCTGGACAGCCACCGGGTGTCGCTCCGCTTCCCTGCCCTGCCTGTCGCCTGGGAGCTCCAGCTCCTTCCTGGACCGCAGCCCTGGGAACTTTCTTCCAGGTACGAGCGCAGCTGTGGGCAGTGGGTGGCGGCCGACGAGCCAGCCGCCCGGCTGACCGCCTGTGCCTGACCAGGCCCAGGCCCCCAAAGGCTGGTTTCACCGCCTTTGCACGACTTCCCACGCCAAGCGTTTCCAGCTCTGGAACCTGGGACTCTCCTGCAATGAGCGCCACCTGGCCAGGCGCCTCAAGAGCAACAGCTTCTACCCGTTCACAGAGAAGCAGCCCAACAGTGCGCGCGGCCGGGCGGGGCCGGGCGGGGGCGGGGGCGGGGGCAGGGGCGGGGAGGGGGCGGGGACTGGGCGGGGCGGGGACCAGGGCCCGTGCCGGGGGGTTGCTGCTGAGCCCCGGCGCCGACGCCCCCGCGAAGAGCAGGGGCTGCCTGTCCTCACGCGCCCCGGCCGCGCCACCCGCAGTCTTCGTGATGGAGTACTACCTGGACACTCTGTGGAAGGGGACGCTGCTCTTTGTCGTCTGCCTCGTCCTCGTGGGCTTCGGCCTGGTGAGCAAGGTCTGAGCTCCTGGGCCGGCCTCCCCTCCCCCGCCGCCCCCCCGGGAGGCAAGAGCCGCTGCTGAGACGGTCCCGCGGCGCCCACAGGTGCAGAAGCAGGAGACGTGGGTCTTCCCCGCGTATGGCGTGGGCATTGGCCTGTGGATCATGATCTCGTCACTGCCGCTGCGCCGCCTGGTGCTGAACCACGAGCTCGGCATGTACACCTTCTCCATCCAGGGCCACACCGTGTTTCAGGGCCCCATACACCTGGTCTACGTGCGCCTGGCGCTCAGCTCCGACGGTGACGCACCGGCGGCCTGGCGGGGGGCGGTGTATGCAAGGGGAGGGGCGGGCCGCCCCGGCCCGCGGAGCCCCGCCCCCGGAGCCGAGCCCCGCCCCGCTCCCCGGCCCGGGCTGAGCTGCCTGCCCCTCACTAGCTTACGGCAGGTGCTTCTTCCAACTGGTTCTGTGCGGCCACAAGCTGGAGCCGCTGGTGCTGGTGCAGGTGTCTGAGCGCTACGAGGTGGGTCCGGCCCCGGCCCGGCCCCGGGGCTGACCGTCAAGCCTGGCGGTGTGGTCTGACGAGGGAAGGGGGCATCTCGGGAGTAGGGGGTGGCAGCGGCGGGGCCCCTCTGGTCCCTGCGAGAGCTGACCTCCACGCGCTCGCCCAGCAAATGGAATTCCTGGGCCGCCACATCGCCCGGAAGCTCAACATTAACTACTTCGACTGCCTGACGACGTCCTACCGGCACGTGGTCCACCACTGGCCGCTGGGGGCCGCCTTCAGCCCGGGTATCGTGCAGCGCAAGACCAGAGCCTGCGACAAAAGCTGCCAGTCGGACATGAACCTGGACGTGTGACGCTGCGGAGGCCCTGCACCCCTTCCCTCCAAGCGGGACACACGCTCCCTCCCCTCCAGTGTACCTGGCGCCCGCACCGCCCCACCCCGCCCGCCGCCTGTCAGTAAAGCTGCCGCTTAGTCCCAGCGGTCTCTTCTCCGGGGGCGTGGGGAGGCTCCCCCCAGGGCCTTCTCCCAGCGCGCCCTCCCCAGAGCCTCCGGGCTGCTGTAGGGGGCACCCCTGGCGTCCGGGCTGAATGGTGCAGGTAGCCGTGGGCACAAGGCTGAGGAGCAGCCGGGACCCAACCTCAGAGGCACAGGCCGCGCTGCCCCCCTGGACAGCAGCACTGAACGGGTCCCGCCTGGCCTCGAGGGCTGACCAGTGGGCAGAATCCTGGACTCAGAACCTGATGGGTCCCGCCCGGATCGGGGGCTGAGGCCTGGTCCAGTCAGCAATGGGATGGGGCACGGCCGCAGGTCCAAGCCCTGTGTCTGGAGGTGTGCCCTGGGCTCGACCACCCCACAGCTGCTGCGCAGAGCCCCAGGCCAGGGCTGCCGGCCGGCCTGGGGAGACCCCTCCTGTCTGCGGGAGCCCCAGTCACGTTCCCTCCCCCGGCAGGTGTTCCTGCGCCCTGGGCGCTGGGCGTGCGTGGGAGCAGAGCGGGCGGAGCGCCACGGGGACCGGTCGGAGGCCCGGCCTGGCGCACGGTGGGCCCGGCTCTCCTGGCCACACTCCCCCTCGTGGGCCTGTCGGGGGGTCCGGCGACCTGTGTCGGCCGAGTGTCCCTGGGCCCAGGACCAGCTGTGTAACCTGCAGGGCCCACGCGAAGCGAAAACGTGGGCCCCCCCGTCACAAAACCGTCAAGCATTTCCATGAGGTGGCACCAGAGCAGGAAGCCACACGCAGGCTTTTCTGAGCTCAGGGCTGTGCGGCTGCCCAGGCCGCCTGCCCCCAGGGATGGACCTGCCTGGATCCCTGCTCAGAGTGGACTTCTAGTCGCAAGGCTGCCCTGCACCAGCACCCCTCCCTCCCTGGGGTGGACCCCGGGGGCCGCGGGGGCCGCTTTAGGCCATCCCAGGGGCGCTGGCTGCTGTGGCACGGCGGCAGGACTCCCACCCCTCAGGGGTTGGGGCCTGAGCTGTCCCAAGGGTGGCAGGGCCCAGCCTTTACCAAGGGGATGGGCTCGAGTGTGGGCAGAGCCAGGCACTGAAGGCGCTGGGACAGGGTGGGGGGGTGCGGGGTGCGGGGTGTGGGCCACGGGGCTAGGCTGGCTGGGCCACGCCTTGTGGCTGAGCCAGACCCACCGGGCCCAGGCCGCCTGTCAGCTTTGGACGGGGGTTAGGAGGGCCTGCCAGCTCGTCCGACGCCGGAAGACTGCTCAGACGGGTCTGCAAGGCTTCAGGGTGGGGGCTCAGATCATCTGGGGAGGCAAAGCCCCTGCCCCCCTGAAGGCGAGGATCGATCTCGGAGGGCAGAGGCAGCCAGCAGAGCTAACCTGTCCGCGGCCGGGGGTGGGGGGACCTCTAGTAAGGGGTGAGGCCAGGCCTTCCTGCAGAGGCAGCATTTGACTCCTGCAAGGGGCCTGGAGGCCCGGGCAGAGGGTGTGGCCCCAGGCAGAGCCAGATGTGCGGAAGGAGCCGCGGGAGGCTGACTGGTCCAGGCCGGCGAGGCAGGGGCTGCAGCTCTTTGCCCCCGGAAACCCCTGGGGGAAACCACAGGGGCGTTGTGAGCCCAGATGCACTAGGATCCTGGAGGGAGGGGAAGGGCCAGGAGGTGGCGGGGACAGAGCAGAGAGAGAAGGGCAGCGGGGCCTCTGAAAGGAGAAGAGGGGAGCAGAGAGGCCCAGGGGCAGGTGTGAGCCGCGGGGGGAGGCCACAGCAGGCCAGGGGTGCTGGCAGGCAGGGTGCAGGCGGAAAGGAGAGCAGCTCAGGCTGGGTCCAGGGTTACAGGGCTGGGGCGGGGGAGGAGAGGCTGAGGAATCAGAACTTCTGAGTTAGGGAGGTCCAGCCCGCACCAGTGGGAAACTGCCGGAACAACAGTGCTTTTACAGACGAAACGCCCGGCAGACACCGCCTTTTACCCAAGTGACCGAGGTCAGCATCAGCGGGCGGGGGGTCACGCAGACAGACCCCCTGCTGGGGTGCAATAACCACCGCCCCCGGAGGCCTCCTCTCCAAACCCAGATCCTCAGCTGGTCACGAGAACGTCAGACATACCCCAGCTGAGACGCAGCCTACAAAACTGACCGGTACTCCTCAAAGCGGCCAAGGTCATGAAAAAAGGAAGGCTGAGAAACTGTCACAGAGCACGCAAGGCTAGGAAAGCTTGCCACCTGGGCGCAGCTGGGTGCCTGGACAGCCACCTACGAATGTCCTTCTGTCGCCCCCTCCTGGCCTCTGCGCAATCTAGTTACACATTTTATTACTACATTTGTCTTAAATCGCACATACGTTGTTACCGTTTATTTAATCCGTCAAGTATCTTTTACTCTTAAAGATTTATTTTTATAGGGGAAAGGAGGAAGGAAGAGAAAGAGAGAAACATCACTGTGTGAGAGAGACATTGATCAGTCACCTCTCTCGCATCCCCAGTTGGGGACCCAGCCCACAGGCCTGTGTGCCCTGTGCCCTGACCGGAAACCAAACTGGTGACCCCTCGGTTCGCAGGCCGGCACTCAATCCACTGAGCACACCAGCCAGGGCACGTTTTCAATAACAAGAAACAAAGTCTTTACATGTGCCCACTGTGTTATAATTTCTGTACTTTTCATCCCCGGAGACCTAGATTTTCAGCGGCGACCCCTTCCTTCAGGAGTTCCCGTGGTGCCGGCCAGTGGCTGGTGAGCTCTTTCTGCTTCTGTATGTCTGAGAAGTCCAGGTCACTTGCATTTTTTAAAGAGATTTTCCCTGGGTATAGGATTCCAGGTGAGAGGTGCTTTGATTTCAGTACTTTAAAGATATTGTCCCCATCTTTTAAAGAAAAATTATTGATTAATTTTAGAGAGAGGACGGGGGAGAGCGTTTTCTGTTCCACTTACTCATGTGTGCACTGGCTGACTCCAGCAAGTGCCCGCACCGGGGCTCACACCCAAAACCTCGGTGTATCAGGAAAACGCTCTAAGCCGAGCTCCCCAGCCAGGGCCTCTGTCCCGGCCGCTTTTAATGTTTCCCTTTGTCATCGGATGACAATGTGGCCTGGTGTGGTTTTCTTCCTCTAATGTGTACCCGGGGGTTGGTGATCTTCTTGGATCCATGCATTTTTCATTTCCATCAAATGTGAAAAAAAATGGGCCACCGTTTCTACCAATATTTGTCCCAGTCCCCTCCCTTTCTGGACTCCGTTGCACGTGCGCCAGGCCCCTTGCGGCTGCGTCACAGGCTAAGACTCTGCCCTTCCCTTCAGCCTCTCCCTCTGGGTTTTACGTCGGGTCATTTTTATTGCAGCTCTTCAAATTCACTCATCTGCAGAGTCTGATGGATTGATTCCATCTTGCGTATGTATTTTTTAAATCTCAGCCATTGCAATTTTCATTTCTAGAAGTTCAACTTGGGCCTTTTAATACCTTCCCTGTCTCCTCTGAGCGTGTTTGGTCACGTCCTGGCTGGGCGTTGCCCTGTGCGCCGGAAGGCTGCGTGCTGGACCCCCGGTCAGGGTGCGCACCGAGGCTGTGGGTTTGACCCCTGGTCAGGGAGCCTATGAGAAGCAACCGATCAATGTTTCTCATGTCGATGTCTCTCTCTCTCCTCCCCGCGCCTCCCTCTCCCCATTCCTCTCCCATATCCTCAGGTGGGATTTTTTAAAAACAAAGGCACACGATCAGCCTTCCCCCCAGCTCCCAGGGCCGGGATGGAGCCCTAACTTGGGGACGCCCTCGTCCACGAGTTCTATCACCGGTGTCCGCTCTGGCTCAGTTCTGATTGTTGATTTTTCTCCTCACTTTGAGCTGTGTTTTCCTGGCTCTGGGACTGCCTGGTAGTTTTTTCACTGGCGGCCAAATGTGAACGGTACATTGTTGGGCTCCAGAGGGTGGCGTCTCCCTACGAACGACCCTGACGTTGGCTCCGTGCCGCAGGTCCCCTCAGGTCGCGCTCCTCAGCGTGACTGGGTCTCAGAGTGGGGTTTTGTTTCGTTTCAATAGTTTCCCCCTCGGGGAAGGAAGCCCTTAAATGCTCAACCTGACACCCGTGGATCCTGAGGTCCCACCCTGTGTGAGCTCCAGGGGCTGTTCCTGCTCATCCTTTCGGTGGTCCTCTCCCCAGACCCCAGGACGTTCCTCAAACACCCGCGGCTCTCTGGCCTGGGGCTCCCAGCCACACGCCCCGCAGTTCGCGTGGCCCGCACTCCGGAGTCTCGGCTGCCCTCCACTGCCTCTCTCCAGCCCGGACGGGGCAGCTCCCGCTTCGCCTACCTGGGCCGCCCTTCATTCTGGGCAGCGTCCCGCCCTGGGCCGGTCTGTGGGGGCCGGGAGCACAGGCCCAGCGTCTGCTGCCCTTGCCTCAACAAGCAGGGTGCAGCCTGGTGCTCAGTGCAGGTCTGCAAGGTGAAGGCAGAAACGGCTCCCAACACGCCAACCTCTCCAAGATCTTCTTACCTGCACCCACACCCACCCCGGCCTGTCCCTGACGAAGCCTAGAGACGGACCCCGCGGTGGTCTGGAGGGCGAGACCCCCAGCACCGACAGAAAGGCTTCTCGAAGGGTGTGCTGGCTCTTTAACCCTGGGCTGCAGGGGACAGGGGCTGCAGAGCCCTGAGTCCCATTGCACAGTGGGACAAGGGGAGTTGGGCCGGAGTCAGCAGGGCGGGGACCACAACTCTGCGCCCAGCACACCAACTTGCTTCCGGGAGCAATTCTGCAGTAGAAGAGAAGGCTGTCGCGGTGCCAGGGAGCCAGACCAAAAGGAGGCTCCTAGCCAAGGTAGGGTCCTGGCAGCCAGGGAGGGGGACGTCCAGGGCCGGACCCTCTAGGCCGGGCTGGGCTGGAGCCCCACTGGGGCAGAGGAGGGCTTGGAAGGTGACCGCAGGACCCACGGAGGGCACATACGGGCCTCCGGGCTCTCGCGGGGCAGGGTACTGAGGACACAGCACTTGGAGTCTCTGCCTTAACCCTGGCCTTTCAGTAACAGGGGACCTGCCCAGGGCCGGAGGTGGCACACCCGGAAGCAGAGGGTGGCGGGGCGGCACCAGACCAACGCCGCGTGTGCCTCCCACCCCCGTGGAGGGGGCCGGCCCAGCAGTGCTGTGCACCGGGGCCGCGGAGCAGTGGCCCCTACACCCGGGAGGGGGCCCGTGGGGCTGCCCAGGACCCGAGGGTTCTGTCGCGCAACAAAGCCCTGCAGGCCGCCAGCCCTCAGAGGGAGGGGCGCCGCACGACCCCAGTGCAGGAGGGCTGAAAGTTTCCCAAGGCCTGACGATCACCAACTGTCCTTGCCCAGCCTCTCCAGGCTGGACCCCAGGACCGCGGCCCAGGGACCTCGGGATGGGGGGCCACCAAGGCGAGGAGGCCAAGTAATTGAGCCGGGCACATGTGCGCTGCACACCCAGGAGGCTCCGGACCGATGGCCAAGGCCTGGGCCCAGCTGCCCCTCCCCGCCGGGCGCCCCGAGGGCTTGTGAGCTCCACCGCGGCAGAGAGCGAGGGCCGCCCGAATGGTTCCCCAGGGAGCACCGGCCGCGGGCACATGGGTCAGGGCTCCGGCGCCTCCTCTTTCTAGAGGGTTGGGGGCCAAGGGGGGGGATTGACAGAGAGAGGCAGGGACGTGGACAGCCAGCGGATACGGAAACAAGGGGACAGAGAAGGGCGATCGAGGAAAGAGGTGAAGACGGAGGGACAAAGGGCAGGGCCAGAGCGACAGGGTGACGGGGACTAACGGAGGGGGACGCGGAGGCAGTCGCAGAGCAGCGACGGGGGCCGCGTGTTTGGGAGGAGGCAGGGAGCACGAGGTGAGGGGCTGCGCCTGGCGCGTCCCGGCAGCACCTGGAGGGTTCGCCCGGTAATTAGGCCTCGGTCCAGATGGGCCCCCCAGTCCCGCAATCAAAATGCTAATTGGCCCCGGGCCTCCGGCTGCGGCTCGGCCCGGCCCGGCCCCCCTGGGAGGGAGCAGGGACCAGCGGCTCGACGGATGAAGATCCCGGTACCCGCCCCCACTCCGGACCTCGCCGGCTGCGGCTCGGCGATAAGGGGGCGGCCGCGCCCCACCCCCGCCCCTCGGGAGCGCCTGCCACGCAAGATGAATATTCTGTCGCTGCCACGGCCGGGGCTGCCGGCCACAAAGCGGGCCTGCGGTCTCCTCCGCGTCCCCGCGCCGGGCTGGCTCGCACCCGCCCTCTGACGACTCTCGGGTGACGATGCGGGGGACAGCGGGGCGCAGTGCAGGCTGCGCCGGGGCGCTGAGCTCAGCAATCTCCGCACGCCCCCGCGCGCGCGCGCGCCCGCCGTGGCCCGACTGCCGCGCGCGCCCGCCGAGCGGCCCCACACAAGGTCACCGCGCGCAGCGACGGGCGCGCGCACCGCAGCCCGGCCCGGGCCCCGAGCTCGGCCGCGCCCGGAGCCGCCCTGCGACCCGGGTCCGCGGCGACAGCAGGTCGCCTGAGGCCGCCCGCCGACGGGGCAGACCCGCAGCACCGGCGGGGGCGGGAGAGGGGACAATGGCGGCTCCGGGCCCTAATAAGGGACATATGTCCCCGCGTGCTGCCATTGTGCGGCTCGGAAACCGCCCCCCCACCCCGCACCCTCGCGCCCCGCCATTGGCTGCTGGGCCTGACGTCATGGGGGCCTCGAGCCCGGGGTGGGCGGCCGCGGGAAGGGTTTGCCCGCCTGTTACGGGGCCGCGGGGCGGGGGGGCGGGAGCCGCAGCCGCGCGGAAGGGCGGAAAGCCGCCAGTGAAGCCGAGTTTCTGGAGCAAGGGCATGGCAGCCCCTGTCCCCGCGCGTCCCCCGCTCGCTGGGTCGCTGCCGCACTCGGCACCGGCCCCTTGGGAGGGGGGCGGGTGGAGGGAGCCTCGCCCGTGGGCGCGGGGTCAGCCCGGGTGACCGAGAGGCAGGGCGACACTGCGGCACGGGGCGCGCGCAGAGCCTCCACGCTGCGCTTCCGCTGCCTCAGCACTCGCAGCCTCGCCGCCCGCCGCCCCGCCCGCCGCTGCGGGTCCCTGGGCTCCGCACCCGAAAGCGGGCGGGCGGGCGGGCGGGACTAGCCTGCGGTCTGCCCCGCGTCCCCTCCCGGCATATCCTAAGTCCGGGGCTCGTGGGTCCCGGACGGTTTCCAACACCGCCCCCCCGCCCCGCGCCCCCGACAATGCCGCCGGCTGCGCGCTCCCATCCCCGAGCCGCGCGGGGGAACTACCCGACGCGGGGGCCGCGGCATCCCCAGGACCCTTCCCAGGAGACCCCGGCCGGGCCCGGCCCCGCGCAGCCATTTCCGCCGCCCTCCCGCCCTCCCCCTCCCGCAGCTCCCGGGCTTTAAAAGCGGGAGGCTGGGCCGGGCCGCAGGCAGAGGCGGCCGCGGGCGCAGGAGGCCGGGCCGGGAGCTGTCCGAGCGCCGAGCCCCGCCCCCGGAGCCCCTGTCTCCCCCTCCCCCTTTCCCTCGGCCCGCCCTCCGTGCGCACCCCTCCCCCCGAGGACCCCCGCCCCCCGCCCGCCGCCGCCGCTGCCGCCGCCGCCGCTCGGGCTGCAGAACAATAAAGCCAGCCTCCCCGAGACCCCCGCCGAGGACCCCCGCCCGGCGGCCGAGCCCCCGCGGCCCGCCCCGCGCAGCCCGCGCCGGCAGAGCGCGCCCGGTCGCTGGCCGAGGTGCTGGCCCGGCCGGCGCTGGCCGCGGTGCTGAAGCTGCCGCCGCTCCCGCCGCCGCCGTGTTCGCCGGGCCCGGCGCCGCCACCCCCGGGGACATGGGGGGTCGCTGACTGAGGCTCCGCCGCGGCGGCGGGGGGGAGGGGAAGGGGGCCGCGGAGCCGGGCCAGCCCTGCACCCACTCGCAGCCTCTGGGCCCGGGACGGAGCCGCTCCCCCCTCCCGCCCCCCCAGCCTCCTCCCCCGCCTGTCCAGGGGCGGCACTGCGGGCTGGGAAGCCGGGACCAGAGGAGGGAAGGAAGGAAGGAAGAAAGGAAGGAAAGAAGGAAGGAGGGAAGGAAGGAAGGAAGGAAGAGAAGAGAAGACACAAGAGGCGCCGCGAGAAGAGTGGAGAAGAGGGAAGGAAGGCAGGCGCAGAGGAGGAAGCGCAGGCAGGCGGAGAGGACGGCGCTCCTGCGGCAGCATCCAGAGGCCGGAGTGGGGACCCGCGCTACCTCCCGCCGCTCCTCGGATGGTGACGGGGCCTCGCCGCGGCTGCAGCCCCCCCGCGCCCCGGCTCCGCAGGCCCGCAGCGCCGGAGCCCCGCAGGAATCATGCCCAGGTCCTTCCTGGTCAAGAAGGTCAAACTTGACACGTTCTCCTCGGCAGACCTCGAGAGCTCCTACGGGCGCGCCCGCGGCGACCTCGGCGTGCGACTGCACGAGAAAGGTGCGAGCCGGGCTGAGGCTGCGGGCGGCGGGCCCGGCAGGGCTGCGAGGGGTGGGGGCCGGAGGGCGGCGGGGCGCGGGGGGCAGGGACCCCAGGACACAGGTCCCCGGGAAGCCGAGCAGCAGCAGGCGGTGGCTGAAACCAGACTGTAGGGCGGATAGAGATGGCGGTGGGGAGAGGGGAAGGCAGAGTCAGGCCAGGACTGGCCCCGGGCTGGGCAGCCAAAGTATCGGTGCCCGGGGGCGCAGGGGGCGCAGGGGGCGCAGGGGGCAGGAACGGGAAGTGCCTGAGGCGTGCCCTGACCCGCGCTGCGGCCCATGCCACATGGACACCTGCCGGCGCGGCGGGACCCAGCGGCGCAGGCAGACCCACACCCAGGAGCCTGGGCCTGCCTCAGTGTGCTCTTCTCTCCCTCGGCGGCACCTCCGAGGCTGCCTGCTCGGGCCAGCAGGGGCGGAGTGGGCTCCGGGGAGCAGGCACGGGGCCGGCGGGGGCCGCCCACCTGTGGGCTGAAGGCGCGGGCAGAGGCGGCAGCCGGGTCCTCCCCGACGCCGGGGTCAGGGAGGAGGAAGTGGGCAGGGGAGGCTCTTTGTGTGAGGGCACCCGAGTTCAAGGACAACGGCCGGCACGCGGGCACGGGTGCCGGGAGTGCCCGCGACACAGGGCGGCAGGACGCGTGTGACCTGCAGGAGCACGAGCCTGTGTGTGAGCCTGTGTGCGCCCATGTGACTGCGTGTGGCCATGTGACTGTGCGCTTGTGTGTGACCCTGTATGAGCGTGTGCCTGCCTGTGTGCCACTGCATGGGACCATGTGACTCCGAGGCCACCGTGCACCCATGTGACTGGCAACCCTGGCGGAGAGTACGTCCGGGTGGCTGCGTGCGTCCCGGGGTCAGTGGGCAGCCCACCCTGAGGGGCGCCAGGGTGGGTGGCGGCGGCGAGTGGCCCTGGAGGAGCCGGAGCCCGCCCCGCCGGCGGCCTGGGAGGCCCGTCTTGCGCCCTGAGAACACCTGCGGCTGCCAGCCTGAGCGATGCTGCCCGCCCCGCCGGCGGCTTGTCCCTGCGCAGGTGTCCCCCGGTGGACGCCCTGGCCGTCTCCCTCGCCGCCTGGCCTGCCTTGGGAAGGCCCCGCAGGAGTCAGGGCCTGCGGGAAAGGGCGGTGCGGAGCGAGGCGGGACCCCAGGGTGCAGGATGGCCGAAGGGCGTGCAGGGAGCAGCGGCGCAGAGGCAGGGAACCGGGTCTGGAGCCCGAGGGGGTCAAGTCCAGGGAGAGGGGACGAGGGGGTGGGGCCTGCAGGCGAAGGCGTCTCCAGGGCTCCTTGTGGGACCTAGAGGACCCGAGAAAGGCGGCATCAGGGCTGGGTGCAGGCCCCGGGGACCCAGAGGAAGAGCCGCTGGGAGCCCCGGGGGGCGGTAGCGATGGGGTCCCTGGCGGGAGGCGCCGGCTTTGTGCGCTGCGGGTCTGCAGTATGTTGCATAATCAGAGAAAACTGCTGAAGTGGGGAGAACCCGAGGGGGAGGGGAAGGGGAAGGAGGGCGAGGGAAGCGCCTCCCCTCCCCCCTGACCTTGAGGCTCTGCTGAAGGGGGGCAGCCGCGCCGAAGATGCGCGTCTTCCTCCCCCGGCGAGGGTGGGGCCGGCGGGAGGCGGGGGCGGAGCCGGGCCGGACTCGGTCTCATCTCTCCTCTCTTCTCTTCCCCTCCCCGCCGCCTTCACCCTCCGTCCCCGCGGTCCCTCGGCCCCTTCCCCTTTGTCCTCCCCCGCTGCCCTCTCTCCGGACCCCGGTGTCTCCCGCCGCCCGCCTCTGTGTGTCTCGCCCGCTGCCCGTCTCCTTTCCCTCTGCCTGCCTGTCTGTCCGCCTCGGTCCTCAGGATACCTCAGCGACTACGCGGGGCCCGCCTCCGTCTACGATGGCGACACCGAGGCGGCCTTGCTTAAAGGGCCGTCCCCGGAGCCCATGTACGCGGCGGCGGTGCGCGGGGAGCTGGGCCCGGCGGCCGTGGGCTCGGCGCCGCCGCCCACCCCGCGCCCGGAGCTGGCCACCGCGGCGGGCGGCTACATCAACGGTGACGCGGCCGTTAGCGAGGGCTACGCGGCCGACGCCTTCTTCATCACCGACGGGCGCTCGCGCCGCAAGGCCACCAACACCAACGCTGCCGCCGCCCCGTCCACGGCCTCGGCCCCCGACGGCGACGGCGGAGGCGGGGCTGGGGCGGGCGCGCGCGCCGTGGGGTCCGGCGGCCGGGGCAGCACGCGCGCAGGGGCGGGTGCCGAGGCCCGCGCGGGGCCCGGGGCCGGCAGCGCAGGGGGCCGGCACGCCTGCGGCGAGTGCGGGAAAACGTACGCCACGTCGTCGAACCTGAGCCGTCACAAGCAGACGCATCGCAGCCTGGACAGTCAGCTGGCGCGGCGCTGCCCGACGTGCGGCAAGGTGTACGTGTCCATGCCGGCCATGGCCATGCACCTGCTCACGCACGACCTGCGCCACAAGTGCGGCGTGTGCGGCAAGGCCTTCTCCAGGCCCTGGCTGCTGCAGGGCCACATGCGCTCCCACACCGGCGAGAAGCCCTTCGGCTGCGCGCACTGCGGCAAGGCCTTCGCTGACCGCTCCAACCTGCGCGCGCACATGCAGACGCATTCGGCCTTCAAGCACTTCCAGTGCAAGCGCTGCAAGAAGAGCTTCGCGCTCAAGTCCTATCTCAACAAGCACTACGAGTCGGCCTGCTTCAAGGGCGGCGCCGGCGGCGGCGGCGGCGGCGGCCCCGCGGCCCCAGCGCCGGCCGCGTCGCAGCTCAGCCCCGTGCAGGCTTAGGGCGGCGGCGCCTCCGTCAGCTGGGGCGGCTCTTCCAACGCGGGCCCCCAAGGAAGCTTCCGCCAGCGCTCGGGCGGAGGGGCGGGAGGGTGGGCCCCTCCTCACAGCAATAGGGGGAGGGGGCCCGGCCCCGCCCCGCCGACAGGGGCCTCGCCGGCCCCTTCAAGCAATAGGGTCCCGAGGGGAGACCCACCCCGAGCTCCCTCCCTTCCCCTCCAGGGTGCCCCAGGCTTTTTCCCAGCAATAGGGTCGAGGAGACCCAGAACCGAACCTCAGCTCCGAGTTAGGTTTCTGAAGACGGGGGTGGGGTGAGGTAGGGCGCGTCCCCCTCCTCCCTCCTCTGCGCCCCTGGATCTTGTCGCAGAGACTCAGGTCTTCCCCACCCCTTCCCAAGCCTTCCAGGGCCAGGCCTGCGGCCTAGATGTCCAGGGAGCCGGTCCCTCCCCAGCGGCAGGCCCGGAAGGAGCAGGAGCGCGGCCCGCAGAGGCATCCCCACTCCTCAGTCTTCGCCGACCCCGGAGTGCGAGACGCGTTGGGCACCGGGGAGGGAGGAGGACAGCGGCGCCCTTTTCCCTTGGATCCCTTCTGGGGCCTCAGTCCGAGCCGCTCTCTTCCCCTCGCCTCGCACCCTCTGCCAAATCGGATTCTTCCAGCCCCGCTCCCCGGGCTCCGTCCTCCATAACGAATATAACGACGCATATCGAACCGCATGGACGTTCCCGACCTCCTCAGACCCCCGCCCGCCCCGCCCCGGGACTCCCTCCCTCGCACCCGGGCGCTCCGCGCTGGAGGACGGATTCCTGGGGCCCGGCAGGCAGGCCCAGGCGCGGCCCTCTCCACACCTCTCTGTATTCGCTTCGCGGGTAAAGCCCCCTGGGGGGGTTGCGGATGCGTCGGGTTTCTTTCTTTCTGTATTTGTACGTTTTCTTTATGAACGGATTGCACTCGGGTCAGGGAAGGGGCGCTGCGGCCCCATCCTTCCCCCCGACGCCCGGGGCTTGGGATGTCCAGGATCACTTTCCCCGCCCCCGAACCCCGCTGCCACCTGGGCCCCGCCTCCTGGGAGCCTCAGGCCCCGCCTCTCCGAGGCCGGCCCCTCCCCCGAGTCCCAAGCCCCTCCCCCACTCTGTTGCCAACTTTCGCCCGTCTATGCCAAAGCCTCGGCGGCGACTCCGCCCCAAGGGCCCGCCCCATTGGCCGCCGCCTTTGTGACGTCACTGCATGCAGCCCCAACCCTCTTCCCGTCCCTTCCCGGGGCTGCCCGTTCCCTCCCCCTCTTAGTTAGTCCGATGCTGACTATAGAGCAATAATGCGCACTGCATGCGAAGCTGCCGCCGCCTCTAGAGTTACTGAGAATCAGGTATCCCCCTGCCCCACCCACCCCATAGGCCCCTAGATCAGGGACGCTGCGCGGGGCCGGACGCGCAGACTTTCTTCCCCTCCCACTCCCGCCCCCCCCCCCAAGGCAGAGCCCGGCGGTGTAATGGTTCCAGGGGCGGGGCGGGGGGTGGTTGCCCCCCCAACCCCTCCTTCAGTTGTCCATCATCCATTGGCCGTTCATTGGGTACCTACTATGTGCCAGGCCCACTGCGCAGTCTGCCAAGGCCACGGCGACCTGCGGGGGTGGGGGGGTGCGTATTCGCGACAGGGGCACAACGCTCTTGGATGCGCCAGGGACAGCGGCAGTTGCAGCAGAGGCCGAATCCCTAGACCCCACCCCGCGCCCTACCCTCTCCACCCCGGGCAGAGTGCTGGGCGCAGTCCGTCTCTGCCTTCGATTTGGTCCTGGCGTCCTCAGCTCGGTGGCAAACACCTAGAGCCCCAAGGCCCAGCGCCACCAAGGCCGCCCATGCCGACCCAGTACTTCCACACTCTGGCTACCAGCTCTGCCCTGTTGGGCCAGGGCCCCGGGACAAACGGAAAGGTGCACGCTGGAGCCTATGACTTGGTCAGCCCGGTCCCCGCGGGCGCCAAGCGCCGCTGCTGCCCAGCTGCATCCGCACGGGGGGACCTGAGGGCCCAGCAGAGCAGGGTGCACATCCCGAACCCCTACACCCCGGCTGGGTACCCACACAGCTCCCAAGCCGGGACCTGCCCTCCTGTGTCGGGCGCACCCGCATGCACACACACACAGGCACCCTCCCCCCCCCCCCCCTCCCACGCCCGTCTACCTACCTACGGAGAAGGCTGGAGGGCCGTGGGCCGGCCAGGGCCTCCTGCTTCTCCCCGCACCGCGCCGCCGTGGAAAGCCATGGGCCCCCTCCTGCCCCCATAACTAAGCAGCACAATAACCGACTTAGCGAATTCAGGTAGAAGGAACGTTTAGGTAGCACCTATTTTGTACTGATTCTACAAGTAGGGCCCGAGATGCGGGGGCCCTCGGGTGGGGGCTGCGGCCGCCGGCCCGCCCCGCCCCCACCTCCGCCTGCGCCCCGCCGCCTTGTACATATTCCCACCCGGAACAGGCCGGGATTTTTACTCGGGCCGCGCCTCTCTTCCGCCCCCGTTTGGGGCCGGGCCGGCCGGACAGACGGACGGACGGACAGACCTCCTTCCTAAGCACAATAGCACCAGCTCCCCGGAGCACCGCACCTCCACGAGGAGAATAAACGCCACTCTTGATAGAACTTGGAGTGTCGGGCTGATCTATCCAGGGCTCTGCCTGCTCTGCACGGGGCGCGGGGGACGTCTGGGGGCATCGCTCCTGGTTCGCCGGACCCTAGGGTGCGGCAGGCGCAGGCACTGCGCTGGGAGTGGCAGCCTTCTCAGCAGCCCCGGGGCACGTCGCTGCTTTTCGCCAGGGTGCGCCCGTGTTCCCTTTGGCAAGAGAGTTGCCCTCTACACCAGCACGAGCGGCGGCGGGGGGGGGGGGCCTCCAAGCCCCGGGGACATCCCTTCTCTCCAGGGCAAAGCACTGGGCACCTCTCCTGCGGCAGGTGAATCTACACTGTGCCAGCAGTTGGAGGCGCTAGGGACTCCAGCAGGCAGTCAGGCCCAGCTCCAGGCGGTTCTAGAATGGCCAGAGTGGGCACAGCAGGGCCCGCAGTCCAATGGCCCGAACTGCCCCCGGTGTCCCTGTAGGGTTCCTGCCGCCCCAGCAGCGCTGACAGCCACCAGCGAGCCCTCTTGACGCCAGAGAAGGTGGGGACGGGAAGGGGGCGAGGTCTGGTCCCTTCCTGCAGCCTTTGGCCCGCATCCTGACCCTCAGAGGTGGGGGAGAGGTTCCCACACTCTGGGGAGGCCGGCATGGTTCTGGGGGAGGAGGTGCCAGGGGGCAGAGGGGCTTGCACAAGCACCCCCAGCTCTCGGGCTCTAGAGAGTTGGGGCGATGAGGGGTGGGGCTGTCACGGGAGGGACAGCCCAGGGACAGGGATCCCCTGTCCCAGGGACGTCCCCCTGCCCCCCTCCCCCCACATCCTGATAGGCAGGAGTTGAGAGGCCCAAAGTCCTGGAGCCACGTGGCCAAACCACGTCAGCCCAGCTGTTCCCACCGTGGCATGGGACGGGCCCAGGGGCCCACCCAGACTCCAGCGGGTGGACAGCAGGCGAGTCTGACCGGCAGCGGGTCCGAACGCACGGGCCTGCTGCTCAGGGTGGGGCTTCCATGGGCCCCGCCCCCACCTGGTGTTCCCGCCCTGCCCACCCCCCCGCAGACGCCGAGGTTCTGCCTATTGGTGCGCCCACAGTCCGTGCCTTCCCATTGGCTCGCGCGGCCCTGCTTTCTTTGCTCTCGACTCCAGTGCGGGAACCTTGGCTTTCTCCTAACCCTCGTCCCGGGTCCGTTCTGGTCACCTCACTCCGCCGCCACTTGCCAGCCGACCGCTTGGAGCCGAGGCGTGGACACGGTCATCCATCTCCAACACAACCCTGCACTTCTCATTAGCTACTGCGCTCAGCCTCTGTCAGCCTACTGGTGTCCTGAGCCGTCAACCTTCTTTGCCAGTCCGCTGGCCAGCCTGGGCCATCCTTCTAGTTTTTGGATCTGTGTTGGGGAAGGAAAAGGCCGGAAGGCGCGCGGGGACACGTGGGCGCCAGTGCGGGTCTTCCCTCTTCGCAGCCTGGGAGATGGAGCCGGGAGGGAGTGGCGAAGCTCCCAGGGCTCACCTCTGTTCTGCGTCTTCCCAAAGGACCCTCTCCTTTGTCTCCTCTCCCCTGGGATCAGTACTCCGCTTGTCCGGGGTCGGGCGACAAACAGACGAACGCTCTTGGAGACTGGATAGGAGACGGGGCTGGTCCTGGCATATCGAACCAGGGGCCACGTGGGCACGCGAAGGCTGCTCTCCCTCCCAGTCAGGGCAGCCTCCAAGCAGGCTACTCGAAGACGCCTGCCAGGTAGCCCCAGCCTGCCAGGTAGGGATGCCAGGCTAACATCAGCCCCAGAAGGCCGGGTGGCAGCAGGAATGTGCCACCAGGGGGCCGGGGCACCGTCGTAGAGGTGGTGGTACAGGGGCGAGCCAGGCCCATAGGACAGGCCACTGACCTCAGGCTGAGCCTCTCGGTTTACTAGCTTCCTGCGAGGTGCTCCTCTCAGCATGGCTGACGGGCTCTGCTGCTGCAGGCTTCTTGGGTAAACCAGGCCTGAGCCCCCAGTAAGAACCTGAACCTCGAGATCCAGGCTGCTCACATTCCGTGCCCCGTGCAGGACGCGGGTCCAGCCTAGGTGGGACGCGGCTCCGCCCACCCGCGTGCTGCATTTTGAGGTTGTCACTGTGGATTAGTTGTTTTATCTAACGCAGGGGGAGGTGGCACAAGCTGTGCAATGACACAGAAGCCTCTGCATCCCTGCGACCCGGCACCCCAACCTCCCCACACCCTGGCTGAACTGGCTCCAGTGGGAAACGGGGAGGCCCCGCAGGTTTGCGGACGTGGGCGGAAGGGCACCCGGTAGGAGGAGGCGTGAGTGGGCGTGGCCACACCGGACGCCCGCACCTGCTCCCCTCCCGCGTCGGGTCCAGGGAGCGCGCGGGGCCTGGGGCCTTTTCCACGCGCCAGTCCTTGGC